ACAGACACACACACAAACAAAGACTCCACCCGGCCCTCACCCAGGGGGAGGGAGTGGATCAGTGACCAACTCCGAAAGCATCCTCCTCCATCCCTACTGCGGCCGGCTCCATGCTGAGGCCTGGCTGGAGGCTGCTGCGGAGGCCCAGAGGGAGCGGCGGCAGGGGAATGCCCTTGGCGACGAGCAGGCGGAGGAACTGCCAACGGCGGCGGGGTGGAGGCAGCAGCCTCCATTCAATTTTTCCTTTGTCGCCATCTCTGTTTGAAATCTGCAATTGCAGTTATTCGCGGAATTATCAGCTTTACGTGAGTTGTACCTCGGAGAGTGTGCGGCTGTCAGTCGCTGCGCCGGTGTGGATAATGGCATTCAGAATCACAGATTATTCTTTTTGGAAGTATGACCAATATAATAATTTTCACCGGAAAATGTCATCTGAACAAGTAACATACACTTTTGTTCTGGTTCTGACCAACTAAGGGAAAAAAATCATTGCAGTAAATCGCGCTGATTGAATCTAACAATCGTTAGATCATATCACGTAAAACCGTGCAAATTATACTTTGTTCTCAAATTGTTAATGTTCAACATCAGCATTGCGTGACTACATTTAATGCCCTTCCGATATTTATCCTTGTTTTCGCATGGGCCGGTTGCAGTCTCTTTTTTTCTGTAGCCATGTTGTGTTTTCTGTTGTCACTGGTGATTGTCGTTTGAACCTTTCTGGATCCGCCATCAAATTAATAAGTGTAATTATGTCAAGTGCTGTGAGAAAAGGCTAAATCTCCACCTCCAACATCCTCACACGCAATATAGCTTATACTAGCCGAGACTCCTTCTTTATGTGTACAGATGTGACGTAATGATGCAAAGACATGCTTGAATTTCCCGCGGAAATCCACCAGTACCGCTGGGGTTAAAAACATTATTACAAGCTTACCACTTTGAATCGAGCTAAGGCAAGCAGAGAGTTTTGAACACTGGCTGGTTATGTATTTGGTCAAAAAAATTTAACCCAAAAAAGCTACGAACTGCAGCTTTAAGAAAATATAAAAAATGTATTTTGTACAAAAATAATATTCAAAAAATCCTCTTAATGTTTCACAGAGTTGTCCCTATACTCTGCAGTGTCTGAAATTGAATGGAATTGAATTGAATTGAATTAAATTTTCATAAAATAAGGAAGGAAAAAGCCCACTGAACCAAACCTTGATATAAACTTGACTTTCCCCCTCTTTTTTAGATTTTAGATATTATTAATAGGCTATTAGGATATTATAATTATAATTTGACATAGCCTACTGTATTAATCATTTGCAGTTGCTAAAAAATAACATATTTTGCAAGTTGCTCTGGATTAGAAACGAGGTCTAATTTATTTGTTTGACATTTTTTTCTAAGAAACGCCCTCATGTGGTGTTTCAGAATAAAGACCTGCATGCTCTATAGCACAGAATGTAAGTTAATTACCCACATAAAATCAGCCACTGCTTGCGCCAATAGGTATCAGTAGGAACGTTAAAAAATACCTTCTAAACTGTTTAGTAAGTAATACAATGGTCAAATATACAGAGGCGGACAGAGTACAGAGCTTTGTTACTTGAGTAAAAGTACAGATACCCCTTGCTAAATTTTACTCAAGTACAAGTAAAAGTACTACATTCAGATGTCTACTTAAGTAAAAGTACTAAAGTACTTGTTTTTAAAAGTACTTGAGTATCAAGAGTACAAGAGTAAATTTTCTAAATATTGCATTACTAATCTACTGCCACAGTGTTTACATTTATGCACAGAAACGTCCTACATGGAGTTATGAAAAATGTTAATGTTAATACCTTGGAGAATGTAAAAGGAATTGAAAGTAAAATCAAGTCATTTTCATCTTTTTACCATGTTGCTTTATTTAATTTAATTAAAAATTTGGGGGGTCCCATCTTTAAATGCGGGGACAACACACACACACCACATGTAAGGGTGGCGCTGCCAATAAAGCACCTAAAAGCTGTCACAAAGAACCGGCAAAAGGAATGATTATGAATATGTAAAATATAGCAAGGAGATATTTTAATTGTTTATTAATAAACACTTGTTAATAAACTAGTGTTTTCTTTGTCAGTGTCGGCTAGATGAAGTTGACGATGCTGACTCGCGATCTTCAGTAGTGAACGCGCCAGAGAGAAATGCACATTTCATACGGATTACATAAGCAGAGAGCAGTCTGTAGTCTGTTTTCTTTCGTTTTGAATTTTTCTGTTTAAAAGTAGACATGTCTGTGAGAGGCAAGTAGGCTACTATACACTGAGTTTCGGTTCATTTATGAGACGAGATCCAGTTCACGTGCCGGCGCCTCCATTTCTTATCTATCGTCTGCTATTTACTTCTTATTTATTAAACCCAGGCAATTGGTTGATGAAACATTGATTAAAATTAAGATACAATTAATGCAAACCGAAATTCAGGTTAAAGAAAGGTTTTGTGTTTTCTGTTTGATGTCTCTGTGAAAGTTTTAAAGCATTTTTTATGCCGCTTTCAGAGCGCTCACGTCCGTAACGGAGAACACGTCCATAACATAGTTTTTTCCTCATAAATGCAAACCCGAAAAATAAAATAAAACAAAACAAACAAACAAAATTAATATTTTATGTACTGTGGAGACTGAGCGCCAACCCTTCTTCATTCGCTGGGTAGTAGCCTACTTTGGTTTGCGCAGTGTAATTCACACAATCAGTAAAATATTTTGCCTCCTGAAGTTTTTTTTTTAAGAAATCAGAAATCCCTCGTGGGTACGCCACTGCCACATTTGAACCTGACTGTGTTAAACACACCACATACTCAAGAACATCAAACCAAATGCTTGGCTTACATTAATGTGTAATATAAAATCTGACCATGGAGTTAACTTTGGCGGAAAGCTGAAGGTGATTGCTGATAGGCTGTCCCAATCAGTGGCGCCTGCACAATCCAATCACGTTTGAGAGGGAAACAAAAAAATTGAGGGTTTCCGAGATTTTTTTTTTTTTTTTTACTTTTTTTTTTTTTTACTCGGGTACTCACGTTTATGGATAGAAATGTATTGGAGTAAAGAGTACAATATTTGCCTCTCAAATGTACTTGAGTAAAGTCATGAGTACTCCCCAAAAATGATACTCGAGTAAAGTACAGATCCTTCAAAATTGTACTTAAGTACTGTACTCAAGTAAATGTACTCCGTTACTGTCCGGCTCTGCAAATATACAAATTATAATCACCATTTTTTAGTTGTTTGATAATAATTCTAAAAAAAAATGATAGGCCTATTGATTATAAAATAGGTTCCACGTGGTTAACTTTCATACACTCTAAGAAATGCTAAAAAAATGCTGGGTTTGGTTGTTTCAAGCCATGTTTGGATCAAATATAGAAAAACCAAACCATTGGGTATAAAAATTAAATTAAATAATAATAAAAAATGTTTTAACCAATGGTTGGTTTCATCAACATTTGACCCAAACATGGGTTCAAACAACCCAGCATTTTTTAGAGTGAATGTACATCACAATGGCATACACATTTTATTTGGAACTAAATAAAAGGATTTATAAAATATTCACAAAATATGTACAGTATACAAATGAATAAATGCAAATATCTGTCCAAATGAGAATTATGTAATTGAGCTCAGAGAATGATGTCATGATTCTGCCTATAGTGTCCTTGATTTTCCCTGGTCGTAAGGCAGGATCATGACGGAATCATGTTTTGTGTATAAGCGCATGGCCAATTGTTTGGACCATGTGCTTGTGTTGTCTCGTTAGGTTACTCCGCCACCTTGTTACCCTCGTCTTGTCATTATTGTCTAGTCAGTTTCACCTGTCCTCGTCATTAGTGTTCCCCTATTTTATCCCTTGTGTTTGCTGTCCTGTGTCGGTTGATTGTTTCTCATAGTGTGATTGATTTCTACCTGTGTGTTAAACTTACCTGTGAGTATGTGAGAGTTTTGTCTGGAGAATTACTGATCCTGTTTTTGTAGTTAGTTTATGGTCTAGTTTGTCAGTCCTAGTCTGGTCTAGTCTTGTCATTTCTTTTGCTGTTCATGTTTTGCCCCCTCGTGGGTTTTGTTTTCTCTGTTTTCTGTCTATAATAAACTTTGTGTCACTGCATCCTGTCTGCGCCTGGGTTCAGCTTCCACCGTCATAACAAATAGGTTGCAGATAGACAGCCACTATAAAATCTAATTAAATTTGTTTTGTTTGAGCTATCTGGAAGAACTGATTCTGATCTGAACACCTAAGGAGGAACATCACCTGAAGTGTTTGCTTAAGATCTAAAACAACTTCCTGTTAAGATGGTAGACACATTCTGCCCACATACATATTATGAACTGTTTGTGTAATGAAAACATGAACAGTTCCTTATATGCGCTGTTTTATTTATTTATGACATTAACATTATTTCATTTCCAAAATACAGCATAAATCAATTGTTAAATATGTTGTGGATATTTCAGTGATTAACCCTCACAGCTTCAATCACATGTTCTGTTTTTACTATCATTACGGTATTACAGAACAAACTGACACAAATGCATTATACGCCCACCACTGACCCTATCAGAAACATTCTTCCCATTTAGCAAGAGTCAGAATTTCAGCACACAACTTGCACTATTAATCTTTAACTATAAATGAGGTGTGTCTTCTCCCACATTCATGAGTGATAATCGTAAACAGAGTCTCAAAACAAGCAAACATCACAATCAAAATAAGCATGCTGGGTCTCAGTTATGTGAAGATTTATAAAACGAAAGGGTTAAACTAACTGGTTCATCATAAGATTAACTGGTTCCGGAAACTGTTCCTTATTGACCCATGTACGGATTCTTTTATGTTTATTACTCTCTTTATGATTAATAAATAACTTATCAACAAGAGATTGGGCGTGGATTTTGTCTCCTGAGGAGAGGTCCTGCGCTGGATATATTTAGAGGACAAAAATACCCTCATTACACTTTTTTTTCTTTTTCCATTCTAGAGACATGTCATAACACAGTAAGTACCTACTGTAACTCATGATTAAAAGAAGATAGTTATAAAAGTAAAATGTGTATTTTTTTTATCTTATAAGTTATATAAAATGACAACTTAATAAGATTTGCTCTTTGACTCTTTAATGTTTCTTAAACATAGAGTTTTATACTTTAAATCCTTTTTTGAAAGTTTTTTTTTAAGTGAGGACACTGTAGAAATGAATATTTTCTCTCTCTCTCTTATCGTGCATACAGATATACAGATATCATGCAAACATTTAAGAAATTCCTACCTGTGATTATTTACATATGGATTTTGGGCTCCTCTCTCATATGTTCAGGTATGATATTTCACATTATCAAAAATCGTCCTTGCATTATGTAAATATTTTTTTCTCCTCTATTCCTTGAAAAAAATGGACTTTTGTGAAGTTTTTATATTGCTAAAGAGGATATCATTTGTTGATTATGAATGTACACTACAAACTTAGGATATATAGTTTACTCAAGTTCTTATAAGAACTTGTAGGCTAACTGAAAATAGATACTTAATCTGTATTGTATCTTTTAGGCACGAGCCTATGGGGGAACAAGATGGCCTTTACAACCCGATCCTGTGTTTGGCAGCTGAATAATAATGTTATCATCCCACCTTTAGAGGAACTGAGTGTTTGTGTCAACCTCATGAAAAAGATTATTACTTCTGAATGGACTGCTTTTGACTACAAAGGTCCAGGGCAACAGCACATGGAGCTTGGCTTGGCTGGAGATGGGGGAAATTTAAAAGCTTACCTTTTTGGGGAAGAATGGATAGTTGCATATGACCTTCCAAAAGACAAGTGGCACACAGTTTGTCTGACATGGTCGAGTCACACTAGGCTTTTCCAAATGATCGTTAATAAAGCCATATTCGAAATTCATTTGAATGAAACGTCACCCAGGTTCCTTGCCGCAAATGGTACCCTGACTTTGGGGGTGTCACACAGTTTTGTTGGAGGTGCTATTGATTTTGAGACCGGGAAAAACTTCCTTGGAGATATGTCCTTGTTCCGAATGTGGGGAGTGCAGTTGAGTCCACTGCAGCTGGATGCATGCAAATGTGTAGATGGGAACATTATGACTTGGAGAACGCAGGACTGGGATTATCTGAAGTGCCCACCAATAAAGGATGACAGCTTGAAGTGTGGTGAGAAACTGCTAGAAAAACTTGTTATATGATGTTATGAGTTACTGAAATTGCACTCTAATGAACTGTATCTTTAAAACATTTCAGAATCGTCAAAATATAAAATTCAAATGAACACAACTATTACGCAAAACACCAATAATGGCAACACTGAGAATGAAATCCAGGAGATAGTTCTACACTGGGTAAGATTATATCTGCATATATATAATGTTATAATATATATAATTCACATTTACACTTGCATAGCATTTATATATAGCCTACTGAATTTATTTACACACACACATTTCTAATTATGGGTAAATATTTGTATGAACATAAAATCATTTATACTAAACTGATAAGCTGAAAGAATTTCACATATTTGAGGAACAGACCCTGAGCATCTTTCTCCTGGTGTTTTTTCAGTAAAAAGGTCTCTTTAGTGTCCCAAGTTATTGTAACTGTGACGTTAACTGTCTACCGCCTGTAAACTGTTGGTGTATTAAGGACTGTTCCATAGATGCAGATGCATTTATTGTTTATGGTCCATTGAAAAAGATGACAAACATGTTTAAACCCTTTCCACTTAAAAGATCTGTAAAACTTATTTGGAAGTAAAGTGATAGTTTAAAATTTAAACAAAAAAAATTATGTCATTAATTACTCACCCTCATGTCGTTCCAACCCCGTAAAACATTCGTTTATCTTCGAAACACAAATGAAGATCTTTTTAATGAAATCTGCGAGCTTTCTGTCTCTCCATTGACAGCATATGCAACTACCACTTTCAAGCCCAAGAAAATTAGCAAAGACATCATTAAAGTAATTAATCCACGTGACTCAAATTTTTAAACTCAATTTTATGAAGCAACACAAGGTCTTTGTTTGCGCAAAAAAAAAACAATTTACCAGTTTATTTACAAAAAAAATCTCCAATGCGTGTAAATTTGAGGTTAAACCTTTATTTTAATGTTCTCTTTACATTTCTGTCACGAGCACAAAAGAGGATTCAGTAGCGAGTGTGAAAAATAATCATTTATTTTGAAGAGTGCCGACAAGAGGAAGGTAAGAGTCAGGTGAAGCATGTGCAGATGAAGTCACTATTGGCAACAGTGTCCTCCAAGATGACTCCAGCTGACGAACAATCCAGAGACAGGAACAGAAAAATCCACAGGAGACGCAGCACAAGACCAGGGAGACTCGAACACAGCAGGGTAACACCACTGTCTATGGGTAACACCGAACGATCTGACAACACAAAGACGGATAGCACAGGCATTAAATAGCAGGGCTAATGAGCCTCAGAGTGGCGTTTATTAGCTCACCAGCAGCATAGCAATCAACAGACACAGGCACACACACACACACTGAGAGAATGAGTCAGTGAAATCCATGAACCGTGACAATTTCACTTAATTTTTACATTTATTTTTTGCTGTGTTTATATTAAGATGTTTGTATATTTGTATTATTATTTCAGCTTAAGCACATTTTCCCTCAGAAAATATCAGTGCATTCTGTGTTCCTGTCAAACGTAAGGTAATTGTTCCTTTTTTTTTAAAACACACTAAATCAGAGGTTCTCTTACGAGAGGTTCTCTCGTATTGCGTAAGCTAGCTTACGCTGCGGGAAAGATTCATCTTTGCTGAGATATTGAAGCCAAAAAATTATTTCATAATTTTGTATCCATACACAACGCAGTTCCTCTGCGGCAGACCTAGAGCGGGCTAGCTAGCAGCTCATTGGTTCGCTCAGAGAGAACTGCTTAAGCCTATGGGAGAGCGGGGCTGAACCCGCTTCCAATGAGAGGCGCCCGCGCGCTCATTGCGTCATGACCCGCCAGAATGGGCGTGGCCATGGTGTATATAAGGCGCTCTCCCAGGCTTATATGTTGATTCATTTCATCTTCAGCAAGCTGCACGCTTCTGCTGTTCCTGAGAAAAGCCATCGCCGTCGAAGAAGGCATCCTCTAGCGAGCTCAAGGACCCTGAAGAAGCCGGCCGTCTTCGCCACCTTCAGCCGCCCAGCAAGCTAGGCCATCCGACGATTGTATCCTTTCTCTATTTCTAAAAGAGCCGAGCGTCTTTTTAAAGATGTCTCGTTTTTCCTGCGGCTCTTGCCGCGCTCGTCTCGAGGACGGAGACCGCCATGTCATCTGCGCTCTCTGCTTGGGACTCGAGCATGCAGAACTCGCCCTCGCTGATGGAGGATGCGACCTCTGTGAAAGCCTGCCGTTATCGTCCCTGCGGGCACGACTTCTGGCAGTGAAAACCGCTCCCGCGCCGCCTATTCTCTCGCCGCGTAAAAAGAAACGCCGCTCTCAAAGGCCGCCGGAGCCCCCAGCGGAAACATGCGGGCCGCCGCCGCCGCCTCCCGCTTCCCGCTCTCCCTCCCCGCCCCTGCCGGACATTCAGTTGCCGCCGAGTGGCCGCTCTGTTGTTTCCGATGACGCCTCGGAGGAGAAGGACTCCTGTTCACTGCTCGCTTCTGACAGTGAAGACTGGTCATCTCTCGGATCCGCGAGAGAGTCGACGGGGACCCGCGCCGGGATAGAAGAGGAGCTGATGCGCTCCTCTCACAGGCCGTCGAACGCCTCGGTCTCGAGTGGTCTCCTCCACCCGAGCAGGCCCCGAACCGAATGGACGGTAGCTTTTTTCATCGGCGCTCGACCCCCGCGTGCACCCGGGCCGCTCCATTCCTGCCTGAACTTCACGCAGAGCTGACAAAATCCTGGAATGCACCGCTCTCGGCTAGAAATCGCTCCGATGTATCCGCCTCGCTGCGCTCGGTGGACGGAGCCGCCGAGAAAGGCTATGCAGCCATGCCGCCCGTCGAGGACTTGGTCGCCACACACCTCTGCCCGCCCTCCGCTAGATGGCGTTCTTCACCCACGCTTCCTTCGAAGGCTTGCAGAGCGACCTCGAGCTTTCATGCTCGCGCTTACGCCGCCGCCGGTCAGGCCGCCGCTGCGCTTCACTCTATGTCTGTCCTCCAAGTGTTACAGAGCGATATTCTCCGTGAATGGGCCGAAGGCGGTAGAAAACCCCCCCCCGCCGTCACGGATTTGAGAAGTGCTACGGATCTCGCCCTTCGCGCCACTAAAGCCGCCGCACAAGCTCTGGGGAAATGCATGGCCAGCCTTTGTGTTGCTGAGAGACACTTATGGCTCACGCTCGCCGACATGGGAGATTCTGAGCGCGCCGCGTTTCTCAACGCGCCCCTCTCCCCGACGGGCCTGTTTGGATCTGCCGTCACGGGAATTGTCGATCGCTTTTCTGAAGTACAGAAAGCTTCTCAGGCGATGAACTTGTTTCTACCCCGCCGCGCTAGCTCTTCAGCGGGCCGCTCTCACGAGCCCTCCGCCAGAGCCCCATCACAGCGCCCCCCTCCGCAGACTCAAACAACTCAGCGCAGTCAGAGCGGCCGCCCTCGCCCTCGCCCTCGCTCTCGCTCTGACAGCCGCCGCAGACCGCCGCCCCCCCGTGGCCCGCGACCCAAGATCACGCTGAAGCCTGATCATCAGAAGTCTGCCTAACAATGTCAAGAAAACGACGGTGCTCTCCCGCCGCGGCCGGACCGCCGTCAAAGCTTCGCCCTCTGCCAGTCCCCGTTATTTCGCCGACTGCTGTAGTGTTGACCGCCACAAACAAGCCGGTGTCCCAGCCCGCTTGCGAGCGACAAAAAGCCGTTTTTACGGCTACCCAGAGAAATCTCAAAAAGAGAAATTTTGCCAGTTGTGTAGAAAATGTGCCCACAATCATGTCTTCACCCATACACACAAGCATAACATATCCCGTGTCTCTATCAGAGCCCCATCACATGAAACGGGCACAGCCCGCTCTAATATCAGAGAACATAAACACGCCCACGAGCTCGTGCACGTGTCCCCTCTCTGCTCGCTCTGTGTCACGGCCCATAGACTCCTCTCTGAGTGCAAATCCCGTTGCCACACACATTCAAAGCGCGCCCACACACTGTGTCCAGCCCGCTATGTGCAGCAATCAGGGCAATACAGCCATTCGGCCACTAGCCGCATGCTCCAAAGCGTGGGAAGCCATTCCAGGCATTTCCCCGTGGGTGTTAAGCATTATAAAGAACGGCTACCTGCTACAGTTTCGCCGCCGCCCGCCTCGTGCGCGCGCGCAGCTCGAATCTTCTGTCAGCCCGCTGGCCGCCGGCACGCTCCGCTCAGAAATTGCGACGCTGTTGCAAAAGGGCGCGATAGAGAGAGTCCCGCCATCTATGACCGAGTCGGGGTTTTACGGCCGTTATTTTCTGGTTCCCAAGAAAGACGGCGGCCTCAGACCGATCTTAGATCTCAGGTCTTTGAACAAAGCGCTCATGAAGAGACCGTTCAAGATGCTCACTACCAGGAAACTCCTCGCGCAGGTGCGCCAAGGGGACTGGTTCATATCTCTAGACCTGAAAGACGCCTATTTTCAGATCCAGATAAATCCCCGTCACAGGCCATTCTTACGTTTCGCCTTCGAGGGTCTTGTTTATCAATACGCCGTTCTCCCGTTCGGCTTATCTCTGGCGCCCCGTACATTCACGAAGTGCATGGATACGGCGCTCGCCCCCCTGCGAAGCCAGGGGCTGCGCATTCTGAATTATCTGGACGACTGGCTGATTTTGGCCCAATCACAGACGGAGCTTCTGTCGCACCGCGCAGTTCTCCTCGACCATTTGGAAACGCTGGGCCTCTCTGTCAACTGGACAAAGAGCTCCCTTCATCCCAGTCAATCGATTTCCTTCCTAGGAATAGATTTGGACTCGGTCACGATGACGGCTCGCCTGTCTACACAGCGCGCGCGCAGTGTTCAGCGTCTAGCCGCCTCGTTCCAGATGGGCACCCGCAGGCCTCTGAAAACTTTTCAGAGGATGCTGGGTTACATGGCCTCAGCCTCCGCTGTACTTCAGCTGGGCCTTCTGCACATGCGCCCGCTTCAGTTCTGGTTGAACAGCCGTGTACCCCACCGCGCGTGGAACACGGGTCGCCAGCTGATCAGGGTTACGCAAACGTGTCTCACGGCGCTGCAGCCATGGACAGTAGCAGAATGGTTTCGTCTAGGCGTCACGATGGGGACCTTTTCCTGCCGAAAAGTCATCTCGACAGATGCATCCAACACGGGTTGGGGTGCAGTCTGCGAGGGCTCACCGGCCTTCGGCCACTGGTCGATTCAGGAAAGCCCATTACATATAAACTGTCTGGAAATGCTGGCGGTCGAGAACGCGCTCTCGCACTTTCTCCCGCGCATCCAGGGACACCACGTCCTGATCCGTTCGGACAATATGGCCGTGGTCTCCTATCTCAACCGTCAGGGCGGTGTCAGATCCAGAAATCTCTGTCGACTGACGCACCGCATTCTAGTTTGGTCTCAGAGCCGCCTGCTCTCGCTCAGAGCGACGCACGTGCCGGGCCATCTGAACGACGGTCCAGACATACTGTCCAGGAACCTCATCTCCACAGGAGAATGGTCCCTGAACTCACAGACGGTCCAGTTACTGTGGCGACTATTCGGCAGAGCAGAAGTAGACCTCTTCGCGTCAGAAGAGAACGCTCACTGCCCAATATATTTCTCGAAGAGCGAGGACGCGCTAGCCCAGGAATGGCCTCGCCGCCCGCTCTATGCATTCCCTCCGATCGCTCTGTTACCACAGGTAATTCAGAGGATCAGGGACACACGCCACTCGGTGCTCCTCATAGCCCCGCGTTGGGAGAGTCAGAATTGGGTTCCGGAGCTCACGCAGCTGTCACAGACAGCCCCGTGGCCCATCCCAGTCAGAGCAGATCTCCTCTCTCAAGCTCGCGGCACGATCTGGCACCCCCATCCACAGCGCTGGGCGCTGCATGCATGGGTGATCAACGACTATTCGTTGATTTGCCAGAGGGAGTAAGAAACACTGTCATACAGGCTAGAGCACCTTCCACGAGAAGGCTCTATGCGTCTAAATGGTCTGTGTTCTCAAAATGGTGCACCGACAAACAGCTGGACCCACGGTCGTGCGAGGTGCCGTCTTTGCTTGTTTTCCTTCAAGAGATGCTGGACAAGGGCAGGTCCCCCTCCACTCTCAAGGTTTATGTGGCAGCCGTCGCGGCGTTCGCGGAACCCCGACGCGCTCAGTCATTGGGCAAAGACGAGTTAGTCATCCGCTTCCTCAGGGGAGCTAAGAGGATGAACCCTCCGCGGCCCCCGTCGGTTCCGGTTTGGGATCTTTCTATAGTCCTTGAAGCTATGAAAGCACCCCCGTTCGAACCGCTCGAGTCTGTGGATCTGAAATACCTCTCGCTCAAAACCGTTTTCCTGACGGCTCTGTCCTCAGTTAAACGCGTTGGGGATCTTCACGCGCTCTCATCCAGCGCCGCGTGTCTTGAGTTTGGACCGAATGATTCGATTGTCATTCTCAAACCTAGGCATGGCTATGTCCCGAAGGCGATTGGTACCCCGTTCAGGACTCAGATTATCTCCCTATCGGCTCTGCCTTCATCCGATAGTGAGCGCGATGCCAATCTCCTTTGTCCGGTGCGGGCTCTGAGATTGTACACTACGCGCGCTGCCGCGTTCAGACGCGCTGAGCAGCTTTTCGTGTCGTTTGGGGGGCGCACCAAGGGTCTGGCCGCCTCAAAACAGACACTGTCTAGATGGATAGTGGACGCTATCGCCTCTGCTTACGCATCTAAATGCCTGCCCTGCCCTCTGGGCATCAGGGCGCACTCCACTAGAGGCATGGCCTCATCGTGGGCATGGTCCTGTGGAATTTCCATTCATGACATTTGTGTGGCCGCGGGATGGGCCTCCCCGTCCACTTTTGTCAGGTTTTATAACTTGGAAGTTCCCGCCTTGCAGGCAAAATTACTAGCTGTCTGACGAACAGCTCTCTAAGAAGCTGCATTTCTGGAGGTCCCTCACAACCGGTTCGCCCCTTGTGCTCTCCTGTAATGCTTATACACTTCATGTGCCCGCTCTGCTGGCCCCATACATGCTTATGTGTACACTTCATGAGCCCGCTCTGCGGCCTCTTTGTACATTCACTCCACGTTAAGAAATTCCCCCGGTATATCCCTGGGTTTTTCATGAGTGGATTCGTAGCGCGCACGGCGTTGGCCAGGTGTTCCCGCAGCGTAAGCTAGCTTACGCAATACGAGAGAACCTCTCGTAAGAGAACGAATCGGTTACCTAACGTAACCTCGGTTCTCTCTAGAAGAGGGAACGAGTATTGCGTTCCCGGCCGTGCTTGCGCTACTAGCGTTTCGCTTCACGCTGAAATAAATCAACATATAAGCCTGGGAGAGCGCCTTATATACACCATGGCCACGCCCATTCTGGCGGGTCATGACGCAATGAGCGCGCGGGCGCCTCTCATTGGAAGCGGGTTCAGCCCCGCTCTCCCATAGGCTTAAGCAGTTCTCTCTGAGCGAACCAATGAGCTGCTAGCTAGCCCGCTCTAGGTCTGCCGCAGAGGAACTGCGTTGTGTATGGATACAAAATTATGAAATAATTTTTTGGCTTCAATATCTCAGCAAAGATGAATCTTTCCCGCAGCGTAAGCTAGCTTACGCAATACTCGTTCCCTCTTCTAGAGAGAACCGAGGTTACGTTAGGTAACCGATTCGTTTTCAACCCTGCTCCTGTAGCCTGTTGCATAAAACTGGTTTAACAAACTCAGAGTTTCAGTGTTGGTTTAAAGTTGACAAAACCACACAAATCCAACCTGGTTTATAGATCAGGTTCATCGGGCTCACAACGCTCGATATTAAACGTTATGTCAATTCATCACGGTTTGATCATAAGTTTGTCTGAAGCACGTGCACCTGAAAGTGTGACATGTGCAGCGAACAGCCAATCATATGGGACATGGAGAGCATGATAAACAGCATGTATGCCGGTAAACAGAGCATCAGTTTGATTGACTAGACGGCGCAAGATATCATGAATTTGTATTTGCAATGCAGCAATAAGGAAACACTGCTGCTGCAGTGAAAATTTGTGAAGGTATTTATATATATATATATATATATATATATATTTAATGTGGAGCAAGAGGTACAGGGTGAGTGGGTTTATTGCATCAGATATGTCACCTTTCCACAGCTGATTGGTCCAGTTTTGGTTTGGGATCTCAAAACCAGAATAAGACCTGCTCCAGAACAGGTAAGGCGTGTATAAAACCCACTCAAAAACAATCCTCCTTCTTGATCCCAAAAACTCAACTCAGTTTGCTCAAACTAAATGCAAACTTACCTGGCTAAAAAACTAAACCAGCTTTGTGCAACAGCCTCTAGAGACCCACACCTTTGATTAGGGTTGCAGCTAAACTCTGCAGGAGAAGGGTTGAAGACCTCTGAACTAACTAACTACATAAAACATTTGTTCTAGTTGCATTCGTTTGTTAAAGTAAGCATATGATATTATCCATGTCATTTTTATTTCAAGTGGCAAATTATTTTTTATTATATATTTTTTCATTTAACTGCACAGTTACATAGACTTTATGTCTAAGAAAGGTGCTATATTTTTCCTCATCTGTGCTCCAATTTAGCAATCAAACAGGAGCTGGTTTAACTGGACAAAATAAGGGGAAAATTCAGGTACAATGTTTTTATAACTGATTATTAAGTGGACATATATATAATTTATTTCTTAATGTTATAACATTATGTCTTTTGCTTAAATGTGTTATAAATGTTACATTACGTTATGCTTTTTTGCAGCGTAATGGAAAGCCACAAATCAAGACACAATGGTAAAGGAAATCCTCATATACCTGCAATAGCTTAATGTGTGTCACAGAAATTCAGTAAAATAGGAAGCTTATGCTTTGTGTATGAGTCAAATCATCTAATGACTCTATTGTGGTCTTAGGTTTGATTGTGTGGTGTTTGTGAGAGTGATACCTGGAGCTGATGTGAGTGAAACAGTGTCTAAGATACAGACGTTGTTAATAACCACCTATAACTACAGCAAAAACGTCTTCCTGATAACAAATCCAGATTCTATAAACATCTTTTCAGTAGGTATGTAGTTATGTGTGATGGGAGGGGAGGGGATCGATCAAATTCAGTCGATAAAAACTGTTTCAAATTTTACAGCTGTCTTACCAAATGTGACTTTGAATCCTGCTGTGACCACTGCTGCATCAGTCTTGTCTCAAACCACAAAGAGTCCCGGCAGTACAAATATTACCACATCAGGTTTGTGCCATCCAGAGCTTCATAACTCAACTGAAGTAAATGCTTTTATCAATGCAGAAGCATAATGCACCTTGACTTTATCAAAAGGTACAAAAGGATCACATTCCCTTTTAAGACCTCACATGTAAAATATTCTGTTCTTCAGTAACTAGCACATCATTACGGACACTGGCCATGGACAATATCTGCTCAACCACTTCAAGATTAACTTCGTACAGGGGTGAGTTAAACAATAATAGAAAATATTGTTTGTATGGTCTGTACATTGTGTATATTACTCTCACAGAACCTGTATTCAAATATGTTTTACATAGTGGTCACTTTTTGGCTTTCTGGATGAGATGGTTTCTGAGCAAATTTCCCTGTGTCTTATACTTTTCATTCTTTGTTCTGCACAACAACATTGACAAAATGGTGCAAATATATTGAATTAATTATCATTATTTTATGTTTATTTTAAAGGATTGATATATATATATATATATATTAATAATTTATCATTTAAGTATTAAATGTGATCGAACTGTTAAAAATGTTTTGCAGTATATGTTGTTCTAGGAAATCATTGAATTGATTCACTAATGTTTCATCAGATTTTGGAGACATTTTTTATAAAGTCTATCTCAACCTAACAATGAGTGGCAGTATCACAAACCCTAAACACACTATACAGCAATGGGTAAGTAAAGACGCATATTATAAAAAGTCCATTTAGAGCAGACTTTTGTATTTGATGTACTTCTCTTCAGCTTCAGGAAACACTGGGAAAATGCCAAATGGACGTTTTGAATCTTGTTCTAAAAGGAGCACCTAAGTAAGTGTCCCAACACTAAACATATGGAACACTCAAATGCAGATTAAATAGATGCTGTATCATTAATCAAATGAAATCTTTGTCAGGTACATCACTACTTTTCAGGTTCAGATATCGGCACCTGTGAATGTCACGTCGACAGAGAGGCTGATTTTTGAACTCTTAACAAAAGGATACACCAATGCTACCATCAATATCAGTGTCCCAACTGGAGAAGTCAAAGTCAATCATATAGGTCTGATTTTGGTCTTTTACTGGTGACTAAGCATAAAATGAAGAAGACAAATGTTGAATATTACAAGGAAAAAAAATACAAATCACTGTTGTATATGTCTAATGGAGTTAAAATATATGTGCTGTTTCTCAGTGCAAGCTGTTTATTGTTACAGATCCCGGTTTCTGTCCAGAGGAGATCATGCTTACGGTGTATGGTATATACATGTGGCCCAGCATGACTGCTCAAAGCCAATATGACATGGGGTGTGAACGAGGGAATGAAAGTGCTACAAGGTTTTGGTAAGTACTACACATTGTGCAGCATTTGATACTGATGTAAACAACACAGGTTGATTTAGTTATTTCAGAAATGCATTTTTTTCTTGTCTTAATATATCAGCATCAATCATTTAAACTTTTGATGTATTTAAAAAATTAGATCTCCAGTTTGTTTTATGGAAGTTATAATTTCCATTATCAAATCTCCATTGCGTATACTTTAAAGTGAAATGCTTTGTTTCTATAGAAACAGCCCTGAAAAAACATTCAGATAACACTAATTTGCCATCTGTTTATGTTTCCGTCATTTAGCACACAACCTATACACACAATCCTGTGCGGCTTTACTGATTAATATATCTTATCTTTTTCTTGTGGAAAGCAATATCCTATAATTGAATAATTAGCTTCGCTCCTGACAATGCAAATATTAACTCTTAAACTGACCAGGATAGCAATAACTCCAGTCACCATTACATACAATTTATGTTTTTACAGAGCTTTAGAAAAAGTCTCTGACTTCTGTTTATAAGAGTACAAGAAAAAAGCTGAACTTAATCGTTTCAGGTCTAAAACCCTGTTCATAATATTTCCCTCATTTGCATGGTAAAGTCAGGAGAATGCCTTTTTAAACGGCTGAATGAGAATGACATCTCTTCCCATTTTATTCAGTAAATTAAACGGGACAACTGATAGAGCAGTTTGGGATCCCCCAGACATGAGCAAGTGTATAAGGACGGTAGATTTTGATGATTTGGAAAATATCACAGTTACAGTTGGTAAGTTATCAATATGGGTTTTTATTTGGGTTTTATTTGTCAGAGAAGACAAAAGCACACTTAAATCGACCACTTTAATGGCATCTGTCCCCAGACAACTCAGCAGACATTGTGAACATGATTGAGGATCTGTTAAGGGAACAAACCGGTCTGAATGATGCTCAGATGGACATTGTGCTTGAAAAGCTGTCTAAGGTCACTGAGGTTGGAACCTTGACCACAGACCTGTCCAGCAGCATTACTAACATTGTTTCAGATATCTGTTTGATCACAACTAATCCCACCCAAGTCACTAACAAGTAAGTATTCAAGCAGGCATTTTGTAGTATGATACAGTTGGTTTTGATTGGGGGTAATTAGCTCAAAATTGAATTTTTCTGTCATTATTTACACACCCTCATGTGGTTCCAAACCTGTAGGCCTAGATTTTCATTTGTGGATACAAAATTTTAAAATAAAAATATAATGCCCTAGTTGCTATAATATGGCTTTAGAAGACACCAGAATATTTAGCGAAAGAGTTGTATGGACTATTTTGAATCGATAATGACTTTTTGTCTGTTTGGAGCATGACAGCCCATGGTCACCATCCACTTTCATTGTATAGAAGAATAAACATTTAGCTAAACTTCACATTTTGGGTTCCACAGAAAGAACTCATTTGGGTTTGAAACAATATGAGGATGGGTAAATGATGACAGAATATTTATTTTTGCATGAATACCCCTTTAACTATTTAGATAACACATTTTAATACCCCAATTGTTATTGGGCTGTAGATGTAGATATATATATGTCCCAGTATCTTATTTTCCTGCTGTCTTCACTCCATTGTGGCTCTCTGTCTTGGTGTGTGGTAGAGTTCTTTCTATTACAGACCTTATGGGAGACAGGACGGTTTTCACGGGAGATGCTCATAACATGACAGCACCTTCATTAGCACTGCAGCTGATCAACCCTGACACCTCTCAGTTCCATGGCCTCACATTTGAGGTGTCCTCCTTACAGAATGATAGCACCCCTGAGGTGAGAGACAAAGAGAGATTGTATCTAACACTGCATGAGACCAAGATCATTATGGAAACTTTAGTCTCTTAGCGAAAATAGAAGTGTGATATTAAAATATCACAGTACCTTTGCAAATGTGTTTTCACACTATTGTGACCACAAGGTTTCTGTGTCCTTGTGTGCGTTAATGGATCGTGTTATTCAAGTGGTTATGTTAGCACCATTCACATGTCAGGTGTGATATTAATCCTGACCACTGAATGACTTTTTACATCTAGTGAGATGTAAATGTATTCAGCCACCATTGTTGTATTAAAGCTTAAATTGGGATACGAAAGTATTTTAACACACTCAAAAAATTACATACAATTCTTTGAGTGTGTTCAAATACTTTCCTATCCCAATTTAATATGCAGAGACAACTATAAATAAGCCATACATTTTCTCAAAAAACTGTCATTGTGTCCAAACTCTGTTGACTACATGATCAAAGAATAGCAGAAGAAGCGTTTTTTTTTTTACCAAATTTGACTCACAGAGCTTGTTTTGTTGCAACTAGAGTTAATAAAAAAAAAAAGTTAAACTCTTTTAAATCTCCATGTCAATATATTGTTGTAGTATGTATAGACAAATATATTATGGATGTTTTTGGGTTGATTGATTTATGGTTAATCAACCTTTAGAAGCCTCAAGCAATCAGACTCTATCATATTCGTTCCCAATCGATACAAAACATCCCAAAGCGGACTGATCACAGCTCTTGTGGTCTGTGCACGATATGTGTAGTTACTTACATTTTTGGAGTTTTAGAGCTTGCTGGACAAAGTTTCTGTATTTTTAAAAATGTTTAGGAAGAACTAAATATAAAACGCACAATTAAAATGAATAATTAAGGAATATCACACCATTTTTTTCACATCAGCTGACAACATACAGCACAATGCACAACAGTTATATGCACAAGCAGTTAATGTTGAATAGACTTTACACTAGCTATATGTAATTTACTTTGAAAGTCACAAAATCAAAGCAAAATCAACCACGCACGCACATCCCCTATTACTAAACAAACCAGTATTTTCAACTAATCGGCTGAGTGAATAATTCAATGACTCATTCATAAAGACAGTCACTTGTTGCTGTAAAGCAGGGTGAACTAAAAAAACAAAGGGAGGGCTGGATCCAAATGCAAAAATAGTTTAATAACAAAATAAACATAAAACCAGGGAACAGATAACAGAATGAGCATCACCAAACATACATCCATGTAGGACAAGACCTGACAATGAACACATGAAACACAGGGGTTTAAATACAAAGGGGCAAACAAGCTTAACAAGTAAACAAGAAACACCTGGGGAAGACTAATCAACAGGGAAAACTACAAACACGGTCACATGACACAGGAATGAACACAGAAACAATGAGAAAGAGAACAGGGTAACACAAGATAGGAATCATGACAGATTCCGCCTACAGAACTGGGATAACAATGTAACTGTAGAAAGAAGGCAGGTATTTTCAGCCATCAATATTTATAAAAGTGTGCACTTGAATGACTTATTTTTCTTGCAGTAATGTTTTCTTCCCATCCTTTTTGTAGATATTTTATGATGAGAACTTTACAGAGCATCCAAACTCAGGAACTGTAGCTTTCATTTCCTTACCTCCGGCAATTGAAAGCTTTTTCCCAAACAATGAAGCCAGGCCTCGTGTTCAGTTCCATTTTTATGGCAAAGAAAATTTCTTTAAGGTAACATACATACACTCCTTGAACTGGTGGTCAGATTATGTATTTTCCTCATTTTCAGACGAAGAATAAACCACTTGAAGTCAGTTTAATGTAAATAACAGCATAACTATAGAATCGTATTCTATATTTATTATTTATTTATATGAAGCGGTTTTGTGAGAATCAGTACCTCTGATGGCAAATTTTTTATCTAGGACCCTGCAATCAACATGACGCTGAACTCTTATGTGGTGTCTGCCAGTGTAACCAATGCCACAGTGAGCAACCTTGAGCTCCCAGTGATGGTCACTCTCCGCCATCTCCAAACTAAAGAGGTCTGTGTGGATACAATCAACCAGCCACCACCAAATCAAACCACAAATCAACAGTTCAACATCATTATTGGCCAATTACGCAACTGTTTGAGAACACTTTAGTAAACAGTTAAAATAATATGCTACCGGTACCACTAAATGCATGATATCTTTTGTCAACAAATATCTTGATAAATATAGCTTCTATGGCAGCTGTAATTAACCCACTATGATAACCCCTTGACAATATCACAGATTTATAGTCTGATCATTAAAGTAATATTTCACCACACTGTCTTTTTTCCTCTATAGGACTGGGACAGTGTCAGGTGTGTCTACTGGGACTTCAACAAAAACAGTGAGCTTTGTGATACCCATTTTTTTAATTCAACATTTAGGACTATCTATATTAAGAGAGCTCTTCATTTTGGTCGATGTCCCCATGACAGTTCAATGGTTGTTTGAATGTCTCATAGATAAGAAAGGTGGATGGAACGATACAGGATGTGAGACAGTGAAGTCTAATGCCACTCATACGTCCTGTTCCTGTGATCACCTCACACATTTTGGAGTTCTTCTTGTGAGTTCAGTTTTGTGTGCCCAAGACATAGACAGTCAATTGAAGTATTTTTATAAAGTACACAAAGTTTTACATTTATATTTTTGGTTGTGTGAAAATAAATGTGCCTTAGCACAAGGTCCGTGAATTAAAACGGTCAGTTTATGTAGCAAATGCAATGTAATAATTAACAGTATAGCTTTTAAGAAAACATTTTGAAACTAAAGGTCAGTGTTCATTTATGGATGACAAACGATGGAGATGTGCACAACATTTGCATAATTCATGCAAAGATTTTGATTATTGTGACCATTTTGTCTTCCAGGATATCTCTAAAACTCCAATAAACCCGAAAGATGAAAGGATTCTGACTGTCATCTCATACCTGGGCTGTGGCATATCCTCCATCTTTCTTGGAGTCACACTGTTGACCTATTTGGCCTTTGAGTGAGTTCATAGACTCTTTTGCATTATGTGTTCAGCATCCTATGTCTTACATGTGTTTTCTTACCACAGGAAACTGAGGCGAGACTACCCTTCAAAAATCCTTATTAACCTCTCCGTGGCCTTGCTAGGGTTGAACATGTTGTTCCTGGTGAACTCCTGGTTTGCCTCTTTTAACAGCAATGCCTTCTGCATTACTGTAGCTGCCCTTCTACATTACTTCTTCCTGGCTACCTTTACTTGGATGGGACTGGGTGCAATCAACATGTATCTGGCCTTGGTTAAGGTCTTTAATTCATATGTGCCATCTTACATGCTCAAATTCTGTGCTCTTGGATGGGGTAAGACACACATTTTTGCATTTTTTCCTCTTATACTGTGGAGTATATAGCAATTGAATATAACAATTAAAAAACACTGTTTCTGCTTGTTAATTTTTAAACCTTTCTTTGCAGGTTTACCTCTGCTGGTTGTAAGTTTAGTGCTTGCCATTGATATAAATTCATATGGCGCTGGCCTCTCTAGAGCACTTCTCCAAGAAGACTACACTACATTGTAGGTGCCAAACAAGCAATCATTTATATTGGTGCCAAGAACAATAACCATAAAGCAACCTGATCTCACAAGAAGTTGGCTTTCAAAAAAATCTAAAATTTCTGATCGTACAAAAACTAATGAATGAGATAGTACAAAATAGTAAAGAGTAGTGTTAAAATAGTTAGAAATTGTCATGAGACTGTGTTGGAGGAACAATGTCGTTGGAATCACATTCACTGTTATGCTTGTCCAGCTAATGAATGAACGATAACAGTATTGAAAGCCAGTGTGACAGCCTTCCTAAAGCATGTGATTATATTCACAGAACAAAACTGAATGGCGCTCTTATTAAATATAAAGTTATCATCCGTCGATGTGCTCGCTAACATAGTTATCATTGGTTATTTTTTACAGTTTTCGTTCTTGGTGCAAAGAGGACTTTATGGTCATACTATCTCTTTTCATCCTTTTCAGCTGCTGGGTAAAGAATGACGTGACCTTTTATGTGACGGTGGTGTCGTTTGTGACCCTAATCATGGTCTGTAATATCTGCGTGTTTGCCGTGGTGCTGGTACAGATCCGTAAGATGCGGGTCAATAAGCCTGCCAGCAACAGAAAAGGGTTCCTGCATGACCTGCGAGTGGTGGCCAGCCTCACCTTCCTGCTGGGACTTACCTGGACGCTAGCCTTCGTCGCCTGGGGCCCAGCCAAAACACCCCTGCTGTACCTGTTCTCCCTCCTTAACAGTCTTCAAGGTAACAGCAAGGGCTGCTTATGCCTATGGAGAGAGAGTTAAAGCTAATGCATTCAAAGTATGTCTACTGTGCACATACAGTAGGTGCAGTGGTACTTGATTTATATTATAGGTTCATCAGGTAGATAAGCAAGAATGCATCATTGTAGAGCTTATCAAAAGATGATATGTTGTTTTTGGATTGTAATCTTCAAATGCAAAGGACAAGTGTTTTGTTTTTTGCTGTATTTCAGGTTTCTTTATCTTCCTGTTTTACTGTCTGATGAAAGACAACGTAAGGAAGCAGTGGAAGATACATCTCTGCTGTGGAAGATTCAGACAGACTGCATACTCAGGTTTGGCTCACATAAACAATAGTTAAACTTATACTTAACATAGTCAAGCAAGCTATACTATACCGAAGAGAAAGTAGTCTATTCTAAATTGTAATAATATTGTATAATTATTCTGTATTATACAAAACTTTATCAAACACCCAAATATAATAACAAAGAAGTAGTGTTCTAGATTCAAATTTACTTAAAAAGGAAACAGTGTCCCATCTACACCATTTACACACAACCATCAATTCGAATTCCTTGGAAAAACGAAAAAGAATAATGTAATTTTATTTTTAACCAGACTGGAGTGGTTCTGTGACACTGGGGGCCAAAGCGAAAGGTGGTCAACACGTCTCCTCACCATCCATGAAGTCTGAGACTACAAGTGAAAGGAAGATCTCTGATACCTCAAACTCGGGGGCCAGCCATGATGGTGTCTTCCTGACACGGGACAGAAAACATTAAAAAAAAGGGAAGATGATATGTGTATTCCATTTCTCTCTTTTTTTATGTTGAATGACGACTTTGGAAATTTTCTGCAGAAATTCATGAAAAACCTCATTTTTTAACTTCAATTAATTGTAATAATTTCATAATTAAATTGTTGGTTTCAATTATTATTTTTTATTTCTTCCAGAGAGATGAATTAATGAGGCCATGTGTTTAAACTGTTATGAGTGGTGTAATTCCAGTGAATAATATCTATACATTAGCCATCTGTAAAGTGACAGCACTTTTTTCGCCCAGAATTACTAGGTTAGTAATTTTGACACCAGCCAATCAGTATTAAAAAAAGAAAAATACTAGCAGTTCTTTTTCTGCCAGCTCTAAAACGTTTTAGTAAGAAATCAATTAAAATGTTTGTTCATAATACTAACTGGGTTTTGGTAAACATAACCATTATGTCTAAACTATTTTGCATTCACAATATTTGTTAAGATAAATTGTGACATTAATAATATAATGAGAAATAAAATGGTGGCACTTTTTATTACAGTCCTGTTTCGCATAGCCTACATAGGCTACTTATAGCAATTTCAGTAACTGGGTTATAATAACTAGGTACTAACCCTGAACCTAAACCTAACCTAGGTTGTAGTAGGCTACCTTATGTTACACTTTCTTGGGTACGTACTCTGTAAGTAGTACACATACTGTCATCTGTCAAATAAAGTGTAACCAATAAAACGATTAGGCTATTTGAACAATGTCCAAGTAAAACAACATGTTCTAAAAAAAAAACCATAATTTCTGTCAGTGTCTTTTTTCCGAAGGTGACAGTTAAATGGTCTGACTTGTTCGGTCACATTCTACTCATACTGGTTAAAGTTCACAAATTGACGCCCCATATTTGAGGGCAAAAACTGAAGTAGTTTCTCTTAGTCGAACTTTTCCTCATAGAAAACGATTTAACTGATTCAACTGCAGCCTGATTAAACCTCGTGCAATGACGGATATCACCTTTACTTTAGCAAGCTGTTCGTGTTGCAGCGTCTGATTAACTCGATATTTCACGACTTCTGCACGGTGAGTAAAAGCTCTAAGGTGGCTATTTCCATGACAGTAGTTTTTCCTTTTTTTTCTTTTTTCTTTTTACAATAACTGTAACATAAGCGTAACGTTAATTTACAAAACTTTCTTAATTATATACATTTGGAGATGACCAAGGGCTGTCCGTGATTGAACGTAGCGACATATAAGAGAGCAGGATATGAGAGCTTCTTGTAAAGTGTTCCTAGCCTATAGGCTACAGTACCTGTCAAAAGTTTGGAAACATTACAATTTATGGTAACAATTTACAATAAGGTTTACCGTATTAGTTAACATTAGTTAATGTATTACTAACATGAACTAACAATAAGCAATACATTTGTTACAGTATTTATTAGCCTAATCTTTGTTAATGTTAGTTAAAAATCCAGCTGTTCATTGTTTGTTCATGTTAGTTCACGGTGCATTAACTAATGTTAACAAAAACAACCTCTGATTTTAATAATGTATTAGTAAATGTTGAAATTAATAATACAAATCCAGCTGTTCATTCTTAGTTCATGTTAACTAAGGTAGTTAACTAATGTTAACTAATGAACCTTATTGTAAAGTGTTACCCGATTTATTAATGTTTTTGAAAGAAGTTTCTTATGCTCACCAAGGCTGTATTTATTAAATAAAAAATTCAGTACAAACAGTAATATTGTGAAATATATTTATAATAATATGATATATTTATAAATAATATAAGTGAATAGAATAATAAAATAATTAGGATTATGTGACACTGAAGACTGGAGTAATGATGCTGAAAATTCAACTTTGCATCGCAGAAATAAATTACTTTTTGAAAATGTATTCAAATAGAACAGTTATTTTAAAAATATTTTACTATATTACTGTTTTTACTTTGTTTTTGATTAAATAAATGAAGCCTTGGTGAACACTTCTTTCAAAAACACAAAAATTGTATGTATTTATGTATATATGTATATAGGCCTATATATATATATATATATATATATATATATAGATTAGAGCTGTTTTATTTTACATTTTTAAATTAGGTTTGAAGCCCTGTTACCACAAATTAAACAGTTTGAAAATATATATATTATATTATTCTATACATTTTACATCATTTAATGAACAACATGTAAAATATCTGACATACAGTATAGTTATATATATATATATATATATATATATATATATATATATTGACGAAGTACGATGTGTTCAATACAACCTACTTTAGTTCTCAAAACAAAAACATTGAATTTGTGGCTCTGATGCTTTTTTAAATTATAATTTCTGTGGAAACTGCTGTAATGGTCAGATTTTGCTTCTCATGAAGATAAGCCGTCAAAAAAAATCATAACATAAATAAATAAATATTCTATCTCATACATGGTAGACATACATCATTTATCTTATTGGCACCTTAAAATACATAAACACTTGAATAATTGATCAATTCAGCTAAAATACAATTTGCATATGTAGAACATTTAGATACAGTTGGGCTTTGAAATATCCCATCCTTATATATCCCAAAGAACATCATAAACTCATTAGAATGAGACAACAGGACACCATGAGCAATGTATACAATAATATGTCACCGCTGCAGGATAGATTGATAAATGATGCATTGCAATGCACACCATTTCTGCAGATCAGTGATGGAGGAGGATCTAGGAAGCCCAGTGGCTAAGATTAAGGAGGAGTCCGGTAGTGTCCTTCTCACCTACTTCCAAGGAGACATCAACAGCATGGTGGATGAACATTTCTCCCGTGCTCTAAGTAAAGCAACTAAACCGAAGGGAGAGCACTCCAAAATGAAAAGAAACCTCAGATCTGCTCAAACAAGTAAACAAGTTCTCTTCAATTTCCTTTTACATTAAATATTTGACTTGTTGAATGAGTTTAAACATTGAATTCTTTTTTTAGATGAACTTGGTTCAAATCAATGGGAAGCACAGTCACAAACTAGGTTTCAGCCCATGTTTCCTCCAGAACATCTCCGGCTCAGAACAAGCAGCGAGTCTCAATCAAACCATCATATGCCACCAAATCTCCCTGCAAACAACGCTGTTCTGTGGTCAGGGGATTCTAGGCAGGGTATGAGTCTCGCTCTGCCCCCCATGATGTACCCCTCGGCTGTATCCTCTGATGGTTTGATGGTAGCCGAACAACAGTACTCTAATTCTCTGTTAAACTTGCTCCACAACGATCGCCCTGACATGAGCACAGTGATGGGACCCTCCTCCAAACAAGAACTCATGTCTGGATGGACAAAGTATCCTGGATTTGGCGGCCAGATGGCTTGTGATCTCAATCTAAACTCTGGTAAATGCCCTTATTTTACCATCCTGTTTTAATCACACCCACGTAACCACAGTACCGTTCAAAGGATTTTTTTATGTTTTTGAAAGAAGTCTTTTACACTTACCAAAGCTGCATTTATTTGATCAAAAGACAGTTAAAACAACAATATTGTCCTATATGTTTTAACAATTTAGAAATAACTATTCTATTTTAATGTATTTTAAAATCTAATTTATTCCTGAGATGGCAAACCTGAATTTTCAGCAGCCGTTACTTCAGTGTCTTTACTGTCATTCTTGAACAATTGAATGCTTCCTTACCGGATTAACGTATTAATTTCTTTCAAAACAACAACAAAAACACACTGACCTCAAGAAATTCAATGGTAGTGTATAGGCTACATAAATATTTAAAAGTCATTACATTAAAAGTTGACATTTTAGTCATTCTAACACACATTTTCAATCCTCAGTATTTTAATTAAGTCACTTGTGATTTCCTTTTAGGTGTTCAGGTGATTGAGAAAAAAGATCTTTATTGGTATTAACTCAAAAGATTTGAGATTTAAAAGCAAGAACAAAGAAGTCTTTCATCGCTCTTTCATTTAACTGAACACGTGACTAATGGACCTTGCAATGCTTCACCTGGAGGCTTCTGCACATCCAACCTGTTCAGAAACAAGCTCTTCGTGTACCCCAGCACAGAAGATTGTACAAGAGATTGGCCTCAGGCTATATGGTTAAAGACGATTACGCGAACATAGAAGGAAACGCACACATACAGATTTTTTTTACTGCCATTTGTAGAGTGTCAGAGTTCATTTGTTGCAAAAGTTTCGAATTTAGTCGATTTTATAGCAAATATGTGTTGTTTGTGTTGCATTTAAGTTGTCTGATAGGCTGCTCTGAGTATAAATAACTTTGATTTGAAAACATACATTGATCATATACACAAATGTATAAATGCACAAAATCTAAAAGTAGCTATAACGAGGTTTTATGGGCTTGAGTATACAGTAATTTAGCAAAATGCAGATGTTTCAATTTGTAAAAACTATATTTATTCCTATTTCATTATTGGTTTTCAAGGATGAGAGCATGTTACACAACTTGTCTATGCTGGCATTTGTCTAATTTGGCTGTTTAAATTGCAGGTAATACTGTAGTTTGATTGGATGCACAGCCTTTGGTGTCAACAACAAAAATAAGAGTTTTCTACCTTTCAAAAAAATTTAAAAGTCTATTTATTTTGCTATCCTAACACATGCACAATTATACATTTATTCACATTTTATTATTAGCATCTATCATTGTTTTTTATGCTATCTGTGATTCAGTCAGAAAGATTTTTATATCACTAACCAGCAGTTGAAACCACTTTGGTTCAGTATTTTATTGGCTTTAAATTTAATAAATGGCACATTACAACATTTCGTCAGTGATACTGAAATACATTTTATTTGTAATGACAGCATTTAAAACAGACTTGTTTTTTATGACATTGAAATGAAAGGCATAGTCTACTAATGAAAACACAGACACTGCACCCTAATGGATGAGAACAACATTGCACTGCATCTCACTGTAAAAATACATTACTTATTAGCAGCATGATGTGAAGTTGATAGCTTCATAGTGTGAGTCAATCTTAATCTCACACTATGAAGCTATCAAACTCAACTCCCCCGCCATGAATCCAACTCATGGACGCAGATGGAGGAGCAGCCACCTCACCACCCCTGCTTGAGGATTATGGATGTCCTTGTACTATATTTAGCAGTAACCCATCCGGTGGCACACATGTCCCTTTTCAAATAAAATGGACCAAAGCCAAGGCGAAGCTCAGATCTGCGCTCACCTCTGGCTAGAAACATTCACACAATGATCGATCACTTCACATTTCATTGCAATATGGGAGTAAAGGACTACTGGACAGAAAACTTTAGAGTGACTGATTTATGCTTTATAATTAGCCTACACAATATTACTCTATTCGTATTTGTCAGTTGCACCATCTGATATTTTCTAAAGTCACTCATCTGGGTCACTACATTTTCTCTCGTATCACACGGCGGACTCACGTCTGAATACTTCTCTATATATTTTCAGTAACAGCAATACGTGAAATATGTGAGAATTCCAAGTAGCTATGTATTTATAAAATGGTAGGTGAAATTCAATGAATGAATGAATGAGGCATTTTTTATATGAATGAATGAGGCATTTATATAATGCTTTTATATGTACTACTGTCTGTTCACCCAAAGCGCTTTACAATCATATCAGGTTCTCTCCTCAACCACCACCAGTGTGCAGCATCCACTTGGATGATGCGACGGCATCCACAGTACAAGAGCGCCAGTGCGTTTGCCACACACCAGCTACAGGTGGAGCGGAGAGAGAGTGATAGAGCCAATTCAGTGGATGGGGATAATTAGGAGGCCATGATTGGCAAGGGCCAATGGGTGGAATGTGGCCAGGGCACCGGGGTTACACCCCTACTCTTTTACAAGAAGTGCCATGGGATTTCTAATGACCACAGAGAGTCAGGACCTCGGTTTAACGTCTCATCCAAAGGACGGTGCTCTTTGACAGTATGGTGTCCCCGTCACTATACTGGGGCGTTAAGACCCACACAGACCACAGGATGAGCGCCCTCTGCTGGCCTCACTAACACCTCAGCAACTTGGTTTTCTCAGGATGTCTCCCATCCAGGTACTAACCAGGGTCAGCCCTGCTTAGCTTCAGTGGGCAACCAGTCTTGGGCTACAGGGTGATATGGCTGATGGCTGTATCACATATCACCCAATGGACACTTTACTATCTATCACAAGAGCCCACATGACGAGTCGTCAATGAAAGGGAAGCACCGCAACTGACTCAATAAGTCACATGACAGTGGCAACATTGTGGATGTAGTTTGTCCATATTTTATTCACACTACACACATACATAGGCCCACTCAAGTTTAGACGTACTTTTTAAAGTTCTTCATCAAAGTACCATACACTGACAGTAGGCTTTACATGATTTCGGACGCAGCTGCTCATTCATAAAAACTCAACTGCTGCCATCTTGCACCTCAGTTATCGATTATAGAGAAACATCAGAACATTCTACTTTGCAACTACATGTCAAATACGTAGACTGTCTGCACTTTATTTTGATTATCCTCCAACAGACATTCTAAGTAACTTTGCAATTAGGCCTACGTGCCAACTTATTCTACTAAACCTAACCCAACAGTCTACTAATACTCGAATGAGAGTCAGTTGACATGTAGTTGAAAATTATTGCATGTTAGTTGACATGTAGTTGCAAAGTTACAAAGTAGAATTGTTTGTATAACCTGGCTTTAATATTACTTTAATATTGTTGCAATGATCATTTTGTTGCTTGGGTGATTGTGTTGTACATTGCAATCAACTATTTTTTTTAACAGAAGATTAAAGATAATATACAGGTAGCCTACAGTTATAAAATATTTTCAACTGAAATCAGTATTTTGTGACGCAGTGTTTTTTAATTTGTCGAGTCGCTGTTTAATCACAGGTTAATACATGGCAAGCCCTTTGCCAGATTGAATCAGATGTTCTCATATTTTGTCTTACTCTGCTGCTTAGCTCAAAAAGTCATGGGGTTTGATCTGCATACTCTCAGTTTAATGAGAAATGTTCTCATTTGTTTAGGAGATTGATAAAAAAAAAGCGCAGTTATTGTGCTTCGTGATAATGTACTGCACAAGGCAAATTGGATGTATTTCACGACGACTCTGGCATTTCGGTCTGCCTTTGTTATTGACACTCTTTCCAGTCAAGGCTCCTCTCTCCTCTTCACTCGCACTTAATCTGTAATTCTAATATAGTCTGCAGAGATACCTCAGAGAATCCACAGCACACAACTCAATTAGTGTGCTGACCTACAGAGGTCTCACCTTTAATAGGACATATTTCATTTCTGCCACTATGATATTATTATTATCTTACCTCTGTTGTCAGTGTTGCTTAGCCAATTTCCATGATAATGTGTAATTTCTAAAACAATGTTCTGACATTAGAGACTAAATAGCTTCGGTTAACAATTGTGAGCTATAGCTGATAACACTGACTTACGAGTATCCGGATGGCTTTATGTTAATGCTGATATGTCTGTTTTATTAACTTTGTGTAACTGCAGTGTCTCTCTGACAGCACGTGTAACCACAGAGCTTCGTTTAGTTTTCACGTGTGGGTTCAGGAAGACAGAAGAATCAAGTTCCAACACAATGTTTAATGATAAATATCCACAAGGAAGGCACACATAGGGTAACAGTGATCAGACAGAATGAATGTGAGGGACCAACTTATATAGCAAACACAAATTAGGATGATTAATAGAACACAGCTGACACATATGAACTAATAGAGCGGGAAAACTGAACAAAGAAACACATGATGAACATGAAAACAAACTAAAAGTCCCTGATAATGAAACTAACTGAACATAATGTGACAAGGTACTGCTGTTTTATAAATGTGTTTTTAGTGAGAATCATACTATACTGTCATTTGTATGGTAGCAATCAACACGAATGACAAATGAATTCCATGTAAACTAACAACATGGAGTTAGGCTACACAGAGAACTTAACACAGCCCCCCGGTGTTTAGTTCTCTGTGTAAGTAGCCTAACTCCCTGTTGTTAGTTTAGGGGAGGGGAGGGGAGGGGAGGGGAGGGGAGGGGGGGCGAGCAATGGGAAATCAGAAAATTCAACTGGAAAGAAATACTTGTTTAGAAAATATTAAGCACGATTTAAAAAATCTTTACAATGCCCTGTGCCCTAATATAGATGGTATTAAATGTGGCACCGAACAAAAGTCATGAAAATCATTTTACATGGATTTGACCACACAGTTTTGTTCTAATAAATAAAATGAATGATTGGCACAATCATATTCCAGGGGGGAGCAGTGCCACCCGCGTGCTCCCCTTCTAGAAACGCCACTGAAATAAATGATCTAAAATACCAATAGGCTACGACACTTGTATTTGTGATATATGCATATCTATAATAAAGCGCCAAAAATGACGAATGCATTAATAACGCATAACCAGCTGACAAAATTGTGGGAACAATGATTTGCAATGTTTCTAAAACGTTAAAATGTCAAATTTTCTTGGATTTTCTCTCTCTTTTTTTCACAGTTTTTGAACGTTTATTTGTAATATTACAAGAAGGTTAAAGTAGGCCTAACATCATAAGGATGTTCCAAGAACGCCTTTCTCTCAACGTTATAAGAATGTTAATCAAAAATAACAACGTTCAAAGAACGTTTCTCTCAACTTCACGAGAACGCATATCAAATAAACTACTATTAATGTTATAAGAAAGTTCTATAAATGTTATTTAAACAACATTTAACATGAACAAAACCTGAAAGTTGTAGGAATGTTTACTGTTAAACATGTATACTGTCTGGCTGTATATGGAATGAATGTGAGCAGCGTATGTTGCTATGGTTCCTTCCTCAGGCGACATTGACTTCTTTTCATTATAGCTACAATTTGAGAGCGCTGGAAATACACGCCCAGACTTCATAAACCTGAGATAAACCTTCTTTTGAGCCCCCAGCGCCTCTCAGACAGTCATTCATACGGAGGTCAGCAGAGAAGCAGAGGTAGGATGTTAATGATGGAAATGATGGTGGTGGGGGTGGTTGGGGAGATGAGAACAGTGAATCCATCCGTAAGGAAGTCATAGTGTCAACACCATTTACCCGAGCATTGAGGCTACTATGGTCGTCCACATCTGGAGTTTGAACATTAGCAACAAAGACATTTCTGCGCTCAATCAAAGTGCAAATGTCAGTTCAGGAGACCCCCTAGAGCCCCACGACGACACCCCACCTGGCCTGAGCCGGACTGGCCACACGGTGACAGCCGTCTGCCTCGGAATCATTCTGACGTTTGGATGCCTGAACAACCTCTTTGTCCTGCTCATCTTTGCGAGGTTTCGCTCACTGCGGACACCTATAAACCTCATTCTGCTCAACATAAGTCTGAGTGACATACTGGTTTGTTTATTTGGGACTCCCTTCAGTTTCGCTTCCAGTCTCTATGGGAAATGGCTGTTGGGACAATCCGGATGCAAATGGTACGCTTTCGCCAATTCGCTTTTTGGTAAGTTTTACTAAAGTTAATTCAACAGGAAAGTAGGATCCCAGAGTTTGCGGTGGTGGAGTGGATAAGTGGAGCCACTTAGATTTCACCGCTTTGTGTCATGTCAAAATCAAAGTTGAAATGGACTGAAAACATGATGACTTTAGGGATTTTTTTTAGAGAGCAATCTGCTTAGTGAAATTAATGGTGCATATTCGTCTGTGATCAGTGTTTACCGAGCTTGATAACTGACGAGTTGACTAATAAAAATAACAGGTTAACATCAGTTCACAAATAAAATATATTGTTTCAATTGTTAAATTGTGCCTTTTGTTATTATTTTAGAATAAATGTAAAAAAGCTTAATAAACGAACTTGATGAGAATGAGATTTATACTTGGTTTGAACGAATATAACATTAATTGCATAGGCTAGTAAATGTAAAAATACAAAATAGAATTGTATTTGGTTTCTCTTTTTAATGTAATTTAACCAGGAAGATCTGACAACATTAGTTGTAACTGGGACATGCATTTTCATTTGATTTAAATAAATATAAACATTCACATATAGACCTGTGATGTATATTATGCAAAAAAAGTGGGCTCATATGAATTACATTCACAGCATATGATTTTTCCTGCAGTTAGGTCAATCTGTAGCCTAAATCAAATCAACTGGATATTTGTAGTATGATGACAACAGCCACAAATAAACAATAATTCTTTATTATATTATTTTCCACATTAAATGACGTTGCGGTTTTCTGTCTGTCAGAAATGTTCCACATATGCTCAACATAGGAACATGAATCACTGTCATTTTATCGTATTCAGGAGTTGTCTCGGAAGTCACAGTCTTCCCCCAGTGATCTGACATTTGAATGGAGAGCTCATTTAAGGCCATTAATGACTGTAGTGGGAGTGTTGTGTCTCTTTCTGTGATGTGTAGAGGAAATGAGGGAAGAGTGCAGAGCACTTTTGTGCAGAACCTGTGGACCTGCAAACCCATTGAAGGAGAATGTCTGAGTACATTTGATACATCATTCGCCTCATTTTCACATTCATTTTTTAATGAATGTGTTCCTTTGTTGACATTAACCATATTCATTAAGGCTCAGTTTCTCTCTGTGACTATACCAAATATTTCTGACAACTGGACAATTAAAATAATTAATATACGGTAGGTTGTCATCAGGTTGTTCTAGCTCCATAATCTCGTGTCACTTCACTGTTTACAGGATGACACAAGTTGATACATAAGGATATAATGTCAACCTTCGACTTATTCAACACGATGCCTTAATGAGAATCTTGAGTCTGTGGCTGCCACATTTTATTACATTATTCTACATTTATTACACAGCTCTGTGGAATACTTGATTCTGATTGGTCAATCACGCCATCCAGCGGTATGTCATTCCCAGATAACCACTTAAAACAGATTACACAGGCTCATCCGGGTTGCTGAAGTCAGCAGCGCTAGGACCCGCGTTAATATTAGAAAAGCTTTCCAGCGGAGAGACCTAAGCAAGGAGGTTGCGCTGATTCTGCTCCATACGCAGTATTGGGAGTAATGCATTACAAAAGTAATACTATTACAGTAATATATTACTTTTTGCTGTATAACTCAGTAATATAATGCATTAATAATAACATTTTGGTAATATTATACTCGTTACAATCTCAGTAATGCACATTACAACAATGCAATTAAGTGGTTGTAGAGAGCTTAGTAATTCAGGGAAGAAGGAGGCGGAACTGGTGAACGTTTCACAACTTTAATCATAAAACAAAAACGTAAAAGCTGCAGCCCCTCACATACAACTGCCGCACACACATAAACAAAACATAACATAAAATAGTCCAGGCCTGGTCCTCTCTCATCCCTCACTGTCGTCGCTCCCCCTTTTATGCTTCCGAAGCTCCTCCGTGAGAAACTCGAGACCGGTGCGGCACGCAGGTGACACTCATTATGATCTCGCCCTGTTCTCATGGTCTCAAAAGAAAAAAATAGAATCGAAAAGAAAAGAAAAGAAAAAGAGGTTGTGCATCTTGCCATGTCATTAGGCTATAGGTTGCATTGGGCTTTAACTCTAATGTGTTTGGTATCTCTACCATAATTTACCAGACTTTGATTGTTTGTTTACTTGATGATAATTTAGAATTTATTAATTTACAATGTATTACATTTTGGAAGTAACTTGCCCAACTCTATCCATACATGAGTAACATGGTTTTGAGTGTGTGCTGCTGGCGAGTAACAACAAACTCATGCTTGTATACTCTTGTGTACTGTATGGTCTTTTTTTTTGTATGTCTTTGTTCGTTCGTCATCTTTGCTTTATTTTTTGCAAAGCATTATTTTGTTTCGCTTCTGCTATGATAAAAGATACACTCTTACATTGCGTGTATGTATTTATTTTGGGGGGGGGGGGAGCAATGAAGGGAGTGGTGTGTTTGTTTGGGGTGACTTCAAATAAAGTTTAATTTTTAACCACTTTTGTTTACTCTGCATTGATTATTTTAGTTAATGAAAATGTTTTTAATAATTTAGTATACAACAACAAAAGTTTCATTAACACAGTACCCCAATGCTGCCGTTTATTTTGGTAGTCTGAAATGTTACTTTTATACAAGAGTTCCTGATTGCTAGACCCAGGAACAGAATGCAAGATCACTGAGAGCATAAACTCTATAACAATTGTGCATTTGCATTTAACCTGAAATTTCTCTCTGGGGACTGTCCTGGATTTTTACAGTAACTTGCTTTGTCAAACTTGGGTTATTGTCATTTTTCCCTTGTGTGACTTCAAGTTTTCAAAATTGCTGTACTCGTTACAGCACCTTGTGTACACAGTACAAATATCAACATATTTTACAAAAAAACCCAAAAACATTTAAAACAGCACAAGTTAGCACTATTTCTTTTCCATCTTGGCGTTCTTTATCTCAAACAGGAATTGTGTCTCTGATGTCTCTATCTATACTGTCATACGAGCGTTATGCCACCCTGCTGCGCCCCACCAAGGCAGACGTGTCTGACTTCCGCAGGGCCTGGCTTTGTGTGGCCGGATCCTGGCTCTATTCGCTGGTATGGACTCTCCCACCATTCCTGGGCTGGAGTAGCTATGGACCTGAAGGACCCGGGACTACATGCTCAGTGCAGTGGCACCTGCGCTCAACCAACAGCATGTCATACGTGATGTGCTTGTTCATCTTCTGTCTGGTTTTACCCCTGATGCTCATGATCTTCTGCTATGGCAAAATCCTGTTCATTATCAAAGGGGTGAGTGAGAGATGCTTTATGAGGAAACTCAATTTGACACTTTCTCCTCTGAATAGGTCTTATGTTATTATATGTTATTATCTATTAAACCTACTGTACTGGAAAACAAACATAAAACTGTGGCTTTCATTATAATAAAATAATAGTGATGATTGAATTCATGATTTCTGGACAGTCTTTAGAAAGCAGAACAAAAATTGTAATGTCAAATTCTTATTAAAAAAAAGTTTAAAAATTATATTATCTTTTTTTCTCTCAGCACGGTTGTCATCCTGATGATTCACAAATCGGTTGAGTGAATGTTGAATAATTCAATAAAGACAGTTGTACAAGCAATAAATACTAGCATATTTGTCTTACTATTCGCATACTTCCTTTACTTATTTTACTATATCTTTCTATGGCAGAAATAGTAAGGCTGCGTCTGAAATCGCATAATCTCTGAGTAGGCACTTTGTGAATGTAAAAAAGTATGTTCTATGTAGGCTAGTATGAATGTGTGTAGTCTGAATCTAATCCAGACGTAGCTACGACATCCGTCATGTTGTTCTTGTGATATAACCTACCATCATCAGTTACATCGGTTCACTGCCATTCACAAATCCTCTCCTGTGGCCTCATGGGATATGTACTTCGGTTGCAGACTTCAAAATCTCACTGAAAGTAGTAGGTCCTGTTATCCTGTTGTACAGGACAATAGCCAACTACTGTTGATTTTATTGTGCCATATAAGTAAAAGTTGATTGATTGTAGTAGGTCACTTTTCACCAACTGTTTATGTGAATTTGAACATACTACTTTTGACATATAGGCCTACCTATTTTCACCTATATAGCATATTTGGATGCAGCCAAAGAGTAGTATGCTAGTCTAGCTTTTTAAACTAGTCTTGTTTCTTTTTCTTGAATAAATCAATGATTTGAGACGGATTGATTGAATGAATGATTCAATGGCTCGTCAATTGCCGCCACCTACTGGCGCATCGATGTAACCTGCAGAATGAGTCACTGTAAAATCCCCATCACTAATGCACATTCTGCCTGAATGAGCGGAGTGATACAAACAATGAAAGGTCTCAGTGCTTTTGTATAACACCAGTTAGTGACAATTAGCATGCACTACAGTCTCCTCTTACCGTGTTAATTTCCCTTCTGAGAAAAAAAGCAGTTGTAGGCTATACTCAGAAATCCGCAGTGATGTGTCATAGTCAGTGTCCAATTAACATTTCAACACAGACAAGCAACAGATGACAAATCCTGTTCTTGGATTGTTTATTTATGCATTTGATATTGTTTTGTCCAGTTAGAGAATAAGAACAAAACGCTTTGGGGCAGCATCAGGTTAGACTTTGTTCAGGGAGAAGCAGTCTTTAGGTTTTTATGACTCATATGGCGCGTATTTCATAAACACATCACAGTGTTAAGGAATATGTAATGAGCATTTCCAGCAGGTAGTAAGGCAGAGAGCCTCTAGACACCGAGGCAATTCTAATCAATCACCATCGTGGGTATTTTTTAGAACGCATGCCTGTTACTATTGGTGACGAGCTGGTAACAACAACAAAAAAAAAAAGCCTGAGGCCTGAGCCTGACGTATGAGTGGGCCAGTCACCACAGCCCTCGGGCTTTTTATAGAAACACAAACATGGAATTCTGATGGGATTCAAAAGGGGAAATTACAAGAAGAGAGCACAGTGAAAATCAGAGGATATGTCTGAGACAGCAATTGCATTCTTAAAATAGTCACTCCAGACATGCGGTATGAAATTGATTTCCATTACACTACAAAAAAAAAAACAGGTGTGTGAACGGTTACAACTTACAAACCTTTTTTTCTCTGCGTTTCCAAAAAAGGAAAAAACATTAACATTTAGGCCTACAGTCTAACGTTATACGTGCAACACTCGCTTAAGTCGCTGTCTATTCGAGGAGTTCTGAAATGTCAATTAGGCCTACTCATCATTAAAGTCATTTTAGCTTCATTATGGCATATAACTTTTGGCATAAAGTTAAAATATTTGTCATACCTGACCAGAAGATGTTCAACACTTGTCCTAACGGTTTTTAAATACTCGATTTTTAAATACTAAGCGAAATATAGCTAACGTTAGCATACACTGGTACTGTAAAATTTACACAAGATCGCAAACTCCATGAATTATCAGCTAACGTAAACGTTATTCTGTCCCTATTCAGTTATACAGAACAAATAAATGTCACAGACAAGGAAGTTGTAGGTTGTGTTTGAAATAATTACGTATCTTATTTAGCTGAGGTAAAAAATTAAGGCCTGGCTACTTATGTATCCTTGCTCGATGAAGAATGAAAAAGAGATTTTATATCTCAATGAGACAAACCTGGTTAAATAAAAAAATGAGACGGCCCAACGGTCGGTTGAAATTTAAAAGTCTGATTCGCGCTTTAGGGCAGTGACGAGTAGGCTACATGTCGTCCAGTGGTTGTCCAGACACCCTAGGCACAACCTTAAACAATGATGGCCCTGAACGGTGGTTCAATGTCAGCATTGTGACAACGCTGTGACAACCTTCACCACACAACGTAGTTATAGCAGCCTTTTGGCCATGTTGTTAAAACGTTGTTAGAAGGTTGGGTGTAGCGGACTTCGTCTCACACCACAAAGAAACTCCCGACACCACTGGCTTCGGTGGACCACGTCTGCAATTTATTAACAGAGGACAGAACATCAACACAAGCCTTCAGGTTTACTCTGTTTCAGCTGATCACAGGCTGTTCTCAGGATTTTACACAATAAAGTCTTGTATTACAACAATCAATTTCTTTTCATGTCTTATTTATGAAAATTCACATTCACACAAACTAAATTAAAGAAATTAAATTCCATAAAAATATTATAATTCAATTTGTCAATTTGTTTGATCGTATAGTGGTATTTTCCCCTCTTGTTGTTGTTAAACATACCTGCAATTTATTAACAGAGGACAGAACATCAACACAAGCCTTCAGGTTTACTCTGTTTCAGCTGAAGGATGTATGAGAAAAGACACGTTAAGTACCGTCCTCCATAACAGCAACTGCAATTAATCTAGTACACAGGTGGTCACACATATGGCTAAACATACATTTCACCATCCAAATGAAAGCTACACACATTTAATACACCAAACAACATTTCTACAGACTCAATCCACCAAAACTATATGTGGAAAAAATTATTAACAGGGAAAAACCTGCACTCTAATTTGGCGTGCAGGTGGCAACATAAAACAAACACGTGCGTTTATAAAACACCGAAAATACATTGAACTGTAGGCAGAAAAATGCATATATCATCTCTTTCCCGTTTTATGACACTTCTAAAATAGATATCAACTTGAAACTTCACTTAATATAGCATATTTTCACTCTTAAATGCAGAGCACTAAACAGACATACCTGACTCTCTCCAGTCACAGGCTGTTCTGAGAGAGAGAGAGCAGGCGCGCGCGCGACCGGTCAATTACCGATGAAGTCACTCAAGAACAAACTCAAAATATTGGGCTCTATGCACGGCGGTATTTCCGGTGAAGGTCAAGGATGCTCGATAACTTCCGCCGATGATAGAGTCCAATGCAATACCGAGAATTTATATTGAATTGTATACTCCATGGTAATACTAAAGAAGCGTTAGTCACAAAAACTGACAAAACAGACACACCTCGTTGTGTTTATGCTTCTTTTTAAAATTATATTAAATAAACATAACTATATATAAAATTACATCTAAACGTATGAAAGTTTCGTTTCAAAGACGGGAGGACAGTAAATTTTGAAGACTCTGCCATAATCCCGTTTTCCTCGGTTTTCCTCCCCACACAGCAGGAGACTCCTAAGCGGATCCGCGTTCAAGTCGCCAAACCCGCGTAACTGTCACATTCGTGGATCCGCTTTAATCTCCCCAACCGGAAACTGACGAGCATCCTTGCGTCAAATGCGGAACTTATGCGTGCAGATAGCCTATTACAAGTAAAAATACATATTTTCCCTGTCTTGCAGAACAAAATAAAGATTAAATTGTTGATGTAAGTAATTGGTTTTTTAAAAATTCTATTTAACCAATTTAATTATTGAACAAATAAAAGTTTGCTGGAACAGTTACTAGGAAAACTCCAAACACTACATGGGTACGTTGTGCCAACGTTGTTTGCTGGGTAGCCTATTCAATGGAAAGTCTAGTGAAAATGCATTCAGATACAATTAAGATTTTTTGACACTTGTGTGTAATTGTTTGCAGAAACAAAGATGCCTAGACAGAAGAGTTATTAAATTATAGAAATGGAAAGAATTGTAGCCTACTGCAGTGAAAAATACATTTTGTTTATGTTGCTTCGAATGAATATTTTTGTCAATGTCATATTGATCCTACAAAATTGCTGAAGGACACAAAAGCATTGGGATTACACAAGTGAGAAAACACTTAGCCAAGCTGGAGCTGTCAAGACAATCAATACAATACAAAGGTGTGAATGACTACATGAGCCTGTGAAGGGAGCTCAGCTCCACTGATCAGCTCTCATTTGCCGCCACTACTGATTGGAAGTTCCTATTCTGTGCCCCGACCAGCAGGATATCTTTATAAAGAGAGATTACTTCATGATGGGAAGGGGATAGGGAAGGCTAACAGACTCCAGAGGACAGAAGTCACGACACTCAGACTTGACGCATGAAGGAGCCATCTGCCAGTCGTCCTCTGAATCGAGAACAGCTTGCATGCACACATAGCAAGCTAATTCATACTAAGTACGTTCACACCATGAACTGTTTGCTGTAGGATAGCCCATGTTCTCTGCAGAAAGATAGAAGCTTTTAGTTTGATGTAGATGGTTAACCCTTTGACGCGTACGATCACACCGGTGTGATCAGTCTTGGCTGGTCCCTGGAGCGTACGATCACACCGGTGTGATTAGTCTTGGCTGGTCCCTGGAGCGTACGATCACACCGGTGTGATTAGAACGGTCAGTGCATCACGTGATCAACTGCTAAATTCAAACGTGCTTTCGCGCGTTGGCTGGCGCTGAGCCAGAGATGGACGCACTCAGTGCTGTCATATATCACAACTATTGAGTATTTTAAACCACATAATGTTTATTTTAGGTTTCAGACATTTAAATACACATAAGTACTAGCAAAACAGTGATTTTGAATTAGTAAAATAGACACTGATGTCTATGGAAACGGCTACAATAATCATTTCCATTATAATAAGACAAAACGTTTTATTCATATCAGATACACATTGTGTAAGTAGCTTTACATTTTACCCTATTCTTCTCCTAGTTCACCGGCCACTTACTTTCATGTATTTCGTGAGAAACAACAGATCCGATTCTCTGAACTGTGAAACAAACTAACATGGCGCCGCCCATCGCGCATCCAGCTCAACTAACGCGATCGTTATAAAGACGTTTAAACAACAAAACACATCCACTTGCACATATTTGACAATCGGAATATCAGTGTTTCATGCTATAGCTAATACGTGTGTGAATATTTTGAATAGAAAAGGAAAAAATACATAAAAGCAGATCATCACTCATTCAGCTCTGTGTTGTGATTGCGCTGTGTCACGTGACAAGAAATGACGCGTCACCATGGAAACATTAAAGTGACAGGTTCTAAATAACGGTCGCCTTGAAAAACTCACGCTGGGGGCTCAGTTAGAATATTTTAAACGTACGTGCGAAAGGGTTAAAAAGGCCTATTTCTGCATCAAAATGTAACTTTTTAACTTTTAGATAGAAGAAGATATTAGAGATTAGATGTTGCATTCATGCACTAATCAAGAAACACATGCCTTAAAGTCACAATGAAATCACAACGAGCAATTCATATTCTTAATATTTATTATAAATTATTTATATCTACATCATTTTTTTTATTTTTTTTTATTTTTAATGTGCCCTTTTAATCTTGAATCTAAATAATTTCCCTTCCCTCTCTGATGACGTGTTCACTGGCGTGAGGGCAGGACAACCTGTCACTCACATGACCACAGCAATAACAAACAACAACAATCCGAACAATTCCCAATGGACAAAATCAAGCCATTTCACATTAGGATATATGTCACAGTAGGGAAGAAAAGACTATTGCAACTTCTATAACTTTAAGTGTTTCTTTTTTGGCTCAGGTAACAAAAATCAACCTGCTGACCGCACAGAGGAGAGAGAACCACATTCTTCTAATGGTTGTCACCATGGTATCCTGCTATCTGCTGTGCTGGATGCCTTATGGGGTGGTAGCTCTGCTAGCTGCGTTTGGCAGGAGGGGACTGATCACTCCTGTAACCAGTGTGGTGCCCTCAGTCCTGGCCAAGAGCAGCACTGTGGTCAACCCCGTAATCTATGTGCTTTTCAACAACCAGGTGAGTCCACAGAGGGATTGCATCAAAGCCAATTGAAGGAAAGCTTGTAAGGGAAGGAGACAGAAGGCTGTTTTTTTAATGGATGTCAATGGAGGAGAGGCTTCACTTTGCTGAATAAACCACTTTTGTGAGGAAATAGCTTATCATTTAAAGGGGGGGAGACACTCAGTTTCAGTCAATCTCATGTTAATCTTGAGTACCTATAGAGTAGTATTGCATCCTTCATATCTCCCAAAAGTCTTTAGTTTTATTATATTTATAAAAGAAAGATAGGCTGTACCGAGTCTTTCCAGAAAAAAACGAGCGGGTGGAGGCGTGCCGTGTGGGCGGAGCTAAATAAAAACTCTGCACTCAATTGAATAGACCTACAACCAATCAGAGCAACGCAGTAAGTGACGTATGTTGAGCTACGCATAGTTGTCAACAGAACTCAACTGCACGCACCCTGGAAGAAGTAGTAAAATAATGAGTGTTGATTCTTTTACTTGGTCCTCAATGAGTGGGACCAAAGGAGAAACCACAACGACCACAGGGCTTTCATTGCGTCCCATCTTCTATTACAATGCATCACATAATTATAATAATCATAATTAAGTGTCAGCATTAATATGTAGGTATATAAAAATATATATATTTTTTATTTTAGTGTATTTTCTTAAATTCTACCTTTAAGGCCTGGGTATATTTCATATTCTGTGCTCCACTCCATGCAGTGCACAGTTGCGCACACTATCCGTGAGCCAGAGCAAAACCTTACTTTCAGCTTTAGAGATACAACATTGTCACGTGGGCAGTATACACTTAAAAGGACAACTTTGTACCTTATCTACCCCCAAAAGGTGCATATTAGTTAAATGAAAGGCATACTAATGACTCTGTTTCATTTATTTCCCTTTCAGTTCTACAGGTGTTTCTTAGCATTTCTGAAGTGTCAAAGTGAACCATCTATTCATGGTCAGAACCCTCAGCACAGCAGCAAAGAAGATCCCCATGCTCTCAGGCCCTGTGATGGGCCCTCATTGCATGGCAACATCAAGGGCCTCCAGAATAAAGAGCAGCACACTCTGTCCTTAGTGGTTCACTACACACCCTGACACTCTCAAAGACTTCTCATGCTCTGTACAGCTCAGCGTTTATAGTGTGCCGGGATGGAAAACTGATAGTGTGAATTGTGATGTTTGTTCCATAGTTCCAATATCAGAATCCCTGAGTAAGACCAAACCAGAATCACATTTATTTCTTTGTGTGCTTGTTTTTTTTAATGATGCATTGAAAATGCATTGAATTCCATGTATTGAAAGTGCTCTATGCTTGAAATGAATGTCAGTTTATAGAACATAATGTTTTTATATATATATATATATATACAGTGGGGAGAACAAGTATTTGATACACTGCCGATTTTGCAGGTTTTCCCACTTACAAAGCATGTAGAAGTCTGTAATTTTCAACTGTGAGTGACGGAATCTAAAACAAAAATCCAGAAAATCACACTGTATGATTTTTAAGTAATTAATTTGCATTTTATTGCATGCCATAAGTATTTGATCACCTACCAACCAGTAATAATTCCGGCTCTCACAGACCTGTTAGTTTCTCTTTAAGAAGCCCTCCTGTTCTCCACTCATTACCTGTATTAACTGCACCTGTTTGAACCCGTTACCTGTATAAAAGACACCTGTCCACACACTCAATCAAACAGACTCCAACCTCTCCACAATAGCCAAGACCACAGAGCTGTGTAAGGACATCAGATAAAATTGTAGACCTGCACAAGGCTGGGATGGGCTACAGGACAATAGGCAAGCAGCTTGGTGAGAAGGCAGCAACAGTTGGCGCAATCATTAGAAAACGGAAGAAGTTCAAGATGATGGTCAATCTCCCTCGGTCTGGGGCTCCATGCAAGATCTCACCTCGTGGGGCATCAATGATCATGAGGAAGGCGAGGGATCAGACCAGAACTACACAGCAGGACCTGGTCAATGACCTGAAGAGAGCTGGGACCACAGTCTCAAAGAAAACCATTAGTAACACACTACGCCGTCATGGATTAAAATCCTGCAGCGCACGCAAGGTCCCCCTGCTCAAGCCAGCGCATGTCCAGGCCCGTCTGAAGTTTGCCAATGACCATCGGGATGATCCAGAGGAGGAATGGGAGAAGGTCATGTGGTCTAATGAGACAAACATAGAGCTTTTTGGTCTAAACTCCACTCGCCGTGTTTGGAGGAAGCAGAAGGATGAGTACAACCCCAACACCATCCCAACCGTGAAGCATGGAGGTGGAAACATCAATTCTTTGGGGATGCTTTTCTGCAACGGGGACAGGACGACTGCACCGTATTGAGGGGAGGATGGATAGGGCCATGTGTCACGAGATCTTGGCCAACAACCTCCTTCCCTCAGTAAGAGCATTGAAGATGGGTCGTGGCTGGGTCTTCCAGCATGACAACGACCCGAAACACACAGCCAGGGCAACTAAGGAGTGGCTCCGTAAGAAGCATCTCAAGGTCCTGGAGTGGCCTAGCCAGTCTCCAGACCTGAACCCAATAGAAAATCTTTGGAGGGAGCTGAAAGTCTGTATTGCCCAGCTACAGCCCTGAAACCTGAAGGATCTGGAGAAGATCTGTATGGAGGAGTGGGCCAAAATCGCTGCGGCAGTGTGTGCAAACCTGGTCAAGAACTACAGGAATAGTAAGATCTCTGTAATGCAAACAAAGGTTTCTGTCCCAAATAATAGGGTCTGCTTTTCTGATGTATCAAATACTTATGTCATGCAATAAAATGCTAATTAATTACTTAAAAATCATACAATGTGATTTTCTGGATTTTTGTTTTAGATTCTGTCACTCACAGTAACAAGAGTAGCCTACCTATGATAAAAATTACAGACTTCTACATGCTTTGTAAGTGGGTAAAACCTGCAAAATCGGCAGTGTATCAAATACTTGTTCTCCCCACTGTAAATACGCTGATTGTACTCAAATGCTGATTATATAAGGAACTTTTGAATGAAGACAATACATTGCTAACGGTGCAGTGCAACAGCAGCTTGTGTATGTGGCAGTGCTGTATGTAGTGTAGTGACACTTGTTGCCAACAGTAGGAGCCCCTGCCCATGTCATACCAAAGTCTGTTCCCATGAACACTCTCATGCTTATGCACATAGAACTGTGGAAAGTTCATTCGATATCCATGTGCTTTTTCCTTTAATACAGAAATTATTGGTCTTTGTTTGTGGCATGTTATTTAATCTCTCGATAGCTCCTGTGTATGTAGCACAATATTTTTAAGACTGTGTTGTATATGTACATTTCCTCTGCTTCACTGATCTCCATTATCCTATCAAATCTACTTTCATTACGTTTCATAAACTGTATAAAATGTATATAATTGTGAGTCATGTCATGTAAAATGCTGTTATAACGAACGTTGCAGTATTTTGGGACTTCGGTTCTGCATCATATATGCACATTTTTTAGAAAGTGTGAAAATTTGAATATGTGCCATTTGCATAGTAAGTTCCATAAGCCCACAGTCTCTCTCCTTTTCATCGACACACACAGAACACCCACTGAGTCATATCACAAAGTCATTATTCCTATCCCTGGAAAAAGATGAAGTGAATACAGTCTGCAATATATGTGTTGAATTCTTTTTCCCTGCATGATTTTTGAGCTTTTGATGTGTTTTTGCATATTACTAATGTTCACTGTATCATGAGCATTAATACCAATGCAACACTGTCCAAAAATGTTTTTGTTTATGCTATTCACTTTATTCAAACAATTCATTTTGATTTAGCATCATCAGGTTTCTTGTTCAAACATGATTGGTTAATGTTAAATTGGTTCTCCTTGACTTAACTTAATGTTTTCATTTTGAAAGAATATGTTGCAATCAAGTAGTGTAGGGTCTGGACCCATCAGACACACTAATTATTCATTATATTCAAAGGTTTATGAAACTCCAAAACTAACATCCCAAATGAAACGAACACCAGGGCTGAAACAGTGTCATGTTACAGGGCTGATAAGGAGATTAATTCCTTTGGTCAGATGCGCAAGAGAGAGACAATGGGAAGACAGAAACAATCTTTAATACAGACTTTGCTGCATTAATCATAGACTAACTGATCTATAAATGAACATGCATAAAACTGTGAAAGAAACAGTGTAAATGGTTTACTTGTGTATACTATTATATATATATATATATATATATATATATATATATATATATATATATATATATATATATTATGGAATGTACCTTGGTATGCAACTAACGATCAATGTAACCTCATCTGTATCATGCCACACTTTGATGTACTTCACCTTCTTCTAGAATGCATTGTGGATGTTTTATATCTATCTGAGCATTAATGAAGGTATAACCACGCTTGGGACAAAGACTCGTAAATTAACTAGAGCAACCTTCCCACTCAGACATTTCACCTTGCTTATTGGTCCAGTCATCCCTTAGGGGTTGGATCTTTCTCAGGCTTTATTAGAGACAGTCCACATGTGACCTCCCTCTCTTAGTTTTTCATCCAGCCGCAACACTGTTTCTGGTGATACTGGGGAACCCCCTCCCCCTCCACGGGGGCCTAGGGTCCAGCAGGCCCTGATCCAACCAGATATGGGCTCTGGCAGGAGAGAGAAGACTCTCTCACAAAGAACCAAGGACAATCTCAGGAGTTTTGGAACAACGACTCCAACCAACAACGACTCCAATCACCCACTCTTCCGACTTTCTCACTTCTCCTGGGTGCTCGGCGTGGCCTCAACAGGGCCCAGGCCCCCAGGCCTTGACCAAACCAGCCATCCACTCATGGAGAAAGATAACTTTCAAACAACTTCCACTTGCCACTGCTGGAACCCTCAACGACTTCAATTTTCCACAACTTCAAGAATTGTTCCCACTACAAATGCAAGTATTCAATTCAATGAAATGTGAAAATGAAATGCTGTTGGTTCTTCTCATAGTTAGATGGATCTTATCCATCGTTACATCATTCCATCTCTCACTCCTTTTTCCTACACATGTATTTACTGTATGTATTTATGTATGTTTGTTTAGTTATTCATGTTTATGATTTAGTTAATAAAACTTGTGCACTTTATTTATTTGGTTCTGATTCACTGCTTGCAAATAAAGTCTCTTTTACAATTTTGATCTTGCTACATGCTCAAAGCGCTGTACATGCTAAGAAATAATTATTCTTCTGTGGCCATGGAAGATTAGCCTGGCTCCGCCCTCCTACGCACTTCCGCTCAATTTTATTTTCCTTCAGTACTACGTCTGGGATTGTGCTGTAGACTTTGGTTTCCAGAAATAATTTTTTTACCGGTCCAATCAGCGAACAGAGGGAGTGTCTGAGAACGATGACGTTGATGTACTAGCGCGTCAGTTTGAGTTGGAGTTCAGTAATGGCAGCGGAGAAAGACGTGAGAAAATCTATTCGGTCCGTTGTTGCAAAACTGACGAATATCCAGAAGTTTAAGCCGGAGCAAGATCAATGTTTGCTAAGTGTTGTTGGTGGCCATGATGTTGTGGCCCTCCTCCCCACGGGGTTCGGGAAAAGTTTAATTTTCCAACTCACTCCGCTAGTGGTGAATGAGTTAGCTAAGGCGAACGATAGGATGCAAAGCCGATAGTTGTTGTCGTCTCCTCTTGTTGCACTAATGGAGGACCAAGTGAGGGAGGCAGAAAGGTTAGGAGTTGGTGCTGGGCAGCTCGGCGTGCACGATGATCACTGTACAGCATTTGCGGCAGATCCGAAACGACCGCAGCGGCGTATTGTTAATGATTACACCCAGCTTCGACAGTTGACTGAATAGATCACTGTCCTTAGTGTCAAATATACATTTAGAATTTACAATTGTTCATTGAACTCTTAAATTCGATGAACAAAACATGCAGCTCTCGTTGACAGACATCTTATTCTAAACATAATCCTCTGATCATTCGGACTTGTTTTTTTTTATTGCTTAAAACAATACACAAGTAATAACAGAAAACATAATACAAAAACAAACAAAAAATAATAATAAAAACAAAACAAAAATAAAACAGTAGGGGGATAATATAAAATAAACATGAACAAGTTAAGAGAATTACATGACACTGAAAAAAGGAAAATAATTACAAACAGATAATGTTTTTAAGGCTTTTTTTGTTCTCAGACAACTTAATTGAAAAGAGGTATTTTTACAATTCTTTCACAAATATAAGAAAGAGAGGTTTAGCATTTAGATATTTAGATTTATGAATATGGAATTCGGACTTGTTGTTTCCAGCCGGTTTCGGCGCATGACATACGTCACGACCACACGTTAGCGATTGGCTATGGCAGATCCTGAGTGACGCTGGGCAGATCCAATAGTTTTGAACTTTAACAGAGAACCCGCCTACAAGGAAGTAAACGTTTCTCAATGGAGCGAGGCCAGACTCTCTGTACAAATGAAATGTACGAGAGTCTGGTAGAACCAGGCTAATGGAAGATACCCTTTTCTTAGAATAAATTAATAATCAAAAGAGTTCGTTGGACGAACTAATTAATTGATTGTAATATTAATTTAGCCATGTCAAGTTAATCCAATTAACTGACCCAAATATTCATAATTAATCATAACTCATAAATCAAAGATATTATTTCCTATAGCTGAGTTCCTTACAGTAGCTTGATGAAAAAGGGCAAATTAATTTTGTTCATCCAGGTTACTTTATCCATTCGAGTTTACATGAATTATTTTATTTGTTTTAAAGTAGCATTAGAAATAGGGACATGGATTCCACTTCCCATCGTGCTTTACACAGGGCTGGATAAGGAGAGTTAATGTTGAAATAAAGTGTTGTTATTTTATGATTTTTTTTAGCATGAGTAGAATATAGTTCCCACCATCATGTGTTTGGGTTGAAGACCTGCTAACATGCATTAGTAGCTTTAATAAAAAAGCAAGAATTGTGGGAATGTTATGGATGTAAACAGTATCATCTTTGAGCTATTAAAAAGTTATATATATATATATATATATAGAGAGAGAGAGAATGGTGTCCAAAGTTGATTCAATTAAGTTATTTGGATATGTGTTTAGTTGAGTTTACTCTATTCAATTCCCACATAAAGTATTTGAGTAGTAATCAAATAGTAAATATATGCTCCTAACATTTTTATTTTTTATTTTTCCAGACCTATAAAGTGAAAAACACAACAGCATCATGATTATAGTTGCACTACTTGCAATACTTGCTCATTTCAACTCAACTCATTTCTCAGTGAGTGGAATTTGCTGTATTTACAGCCTTGATTTTTAAGGGACATCTGAAGCTTTTAGATCTAGCTTTTAAAGAAAAAAGTTTTATAATGCCTTGTGTGGCTTTTGTTTGTGATACGATAAGTGATTAGTGCCAATATCATTCATAGTATTTGAGCTCACGTTACTCATGAGAACTTATTTAAATCACTTTACTCATGAGAACATATTTAAATCACTTTACTCATGAGAACATATTTAAAGCACTGAAATGTGGAAAGGATCACCTGCACTTCCACCCACATCTAGTCACACTATGCAGAAAACATTTATGTTTCTGTTAATAAAGGTCATAGATCTGATTACTGGGCCCAGATGTATCCTTTAATGTGTTTTGTGGGTGAAGATCATTTCCTAATGTAAACCACACGTTTTAAATTATACTGATGACTTTATAAAATGTGAGCCCTGGCAGAGGGACTGTAGAAAAGTCAGTGGGAGTGGAACTGAGGTTAGACGCTGCAGTTCATTTGAAACCTGTTTTTTTTCCCTGCTTTGCAGTTAAGCAATACTTAATAATCAGCAGTTTCTGTTGTAGACAGTCCACACCAGTATTTAAATGATAAAAGCTGTTTTGTTTTGATGTAAAGGATGGCTTATGAGAAGCACGAAACATGGTGGCATTGAAGGTCCAACAATTAAAAAAGAAAATGTTTAACTGAAACTCTCACAGATACTGTATCTATAAATGCTCTCATTTACAGCCAATGCACTTTATTATTTAAACAGAAGTCAAGGAAGATCAAATGCAGTTATGAGAATATGCAGCAGAGACCACCACTTAGTGGTTAAAATGAGGTCAGAAGGGGCTTTTAAAAGCAAAAACAAAGAACATGACTTTCATGTATTTTCGAGGATCTTTTACAGATGTGGTAAACTAGAATTTGATTGACCTTGATTGTCAATGAACGAAACGATGGCTCACAAATAACAGGTTTCATAGTCTGTTTCTCCTGTGTTTGTATTCACAGCTGTGCAGACTCTGCACCGTTCTTCACTGTGGCCAGATATTTTTTTAAATAGATGTGTCGTGTAGATTCGTGTAGATTCAACATGTGACTTTATTTCCTGTGGTTTGGACAAACAGAAAGGTTAGGTCCCTAAAATAACATTGCAGTTGACTTTAAAGACGAGAAGTATTTGATACTTTCAAATGTATACACCTATACTCTTTAAAAAAAAGAAGAGCAGAGCTTTATTTTACAGAGATGCCATAGAAGAACCATTTTTTAGTTTACCAAAGAACCATTCAGTGAACATTCTTAAAAGAAAGATTTTTTTAAATAATCCAAAGGACCTTTCTCCAGTATAAATAACCTTTTGTGCAATTGAAACGTTTCCATGGATTTGACAGGTTCTTCATGGAACCATCAATGCCAATCGATTAAAAACCTTTATTTCTGAGAGTGTATAGTTACTCTGCTGCACTTAAGAAGAACTGGCTTCATACACGCACTAAAAATACCTCTGTTAAAATCAGCTATAGTTAAAAGTAAATGCAAACTGGTTCAGAAAGGTGAAACTAGTTCGTAGACAAACTCATTTCATTTGTTTGCAAGATGTCACTTGGTTTTATGTGTGTATATATTGCAATGGCATTAATACATTGTGTGGCTTAAGTTTTAATACATATTTATTTAAAACCATTTCTTTACAAATATTTATTGACAAAAATCTGTTACGCCAAAGACAGAATGTTGAATCTGCAGATTTTGAATGACGTTTGAGCAAATAAAATCTAATAATAATAATTCATTACATTTATATCACAGTCACAGTTAAAAATCTGTGGCCTCATGGAATCCATGCCTTGCTTACGCCAAATTGCGTACAAACCCCGGTAGTCAGCCCATCTGAAAAGGTGACATCTATCAGGAAGTCGCATTCAAATGAGCTCAATTGCATTCAGAACAGCTCTTCAGAACTGCATGGGTGCCACTGGAGTACACGTCTCTTCTCTTGTCAACTCGTCTTCTCTTCATCATGATAAACACCTTTCACAGTAGCTACAATCCCCCACCGGTGCCTCCACGGGCAAGGTACAGCAAACCCCAGCCAGTGGGAAATACAGCTTTGGTCAAGATTTTGTCAGTGATGCTACTGATGTTAATGATGCTGACCTTCGGAGGCTTCTTCTACCTGTTCAAGAAACTCAACCTGGTATGAGCTGCTCTTCTTTCTGTGACTCTTTGCTCTCGCATTTGTATTTATTCCAAGGTAAAATGGTAGGAAGAAACTAATTAAATCTTATGAAATGTAAGGTCATGTTCATGCGATATTATATATATATATATATATATATAAAATAGAATCGCATGAACGTGACCTTACATTGCACAACATCTAATTAGTTTCTTCCATGTTACCTGGGATATATATATATATATATATATATATATATATAAAAAATAGAATCGCATGAACGTGACCTCACTTTTCACAACATCTAATTAGTTTCTTCCATGTTACCTGGGATATATATATATATATACACAGAAGAGATTTATTATTTTAAATTTAGGGATTTAAGCTAATTTATTTTAGAGACAATTAACAATGTGTCTCTGCATCAAGTTTTCAAATGCATTTTGAAATGTTAGCTCATTCACTCAAAAGAAAAATGGATAATAAAATTGTCAGAATGGTACTTAACTAATTGTCAAAAATATATTATGAAGCCTGTTACGATGTACGACAATAAGAGAAACACGGAGGTGAAATCTTGATTATTTTCTCTCAGAATAAACAGAAACAGACTGAAAAGACTAAAAGGCCAGATCTCAAGGGTCTATTTCCTGGTTTGTGTGGTTTCATGAGCAAGGCAGCATGCTGTGCATCAAAGAAACAAATGCAACAAAAACCAGCATTTCAGTGTCAAGAGGAAGCTATTATGCAATCTCATTGTATGAGTTATAGGACAAAGGAGTGACTCAATAACAATTCACATGATTATTACAACATATAAGCATCAGCAATTATTAAACAACAACAGAATTAAGTTGATTAGAGACTCCAAGTTTAAAAGTAAAGATATATTGCTTTCAATCACCAATCATTGATGTTTATCTAACTGCTTGTGGCATAAATGATCATTTGTGAGGTGCAAAATAATACCAGATAATTTAGTCAATTTAAAATAATTTAGCTGACATCTAATTCCTTTATAAAAACAGAGATTCAGTTAACATTCTCAACCCCCTGAAAATCATTGTCTTGTTCACACAGTGGTTTTAATGTGCTTATAACACTGTGATTAGATGTTTCTTTTTGGTGCTGTTCATATTTACCAAAGATTCTTTATGCATTAATGTAAACAAATGGTTTGTCTTTTTCCTTCATCAGCTGCAGGGCCATGGGAGTTATCATGAATCGAATCATGAAGACATGACGAACCTGCTGAGACTAGATGACTGTGTGAAAGAAAAATTGGGAGAAGACTCAAGGGCAGAATGTAGCGAACTGATAGAAAATTATAAAGCGGTCATAGAAAAGGTATACATTTATGTCATGTGTTTAAGTCATGCTTTCGATAATCCGAGATCTACATGTGAATCATTAAGCATAAAAGTAATAACATAAAAATATAGTTAATAACTAAAGTATCATTACTTTGTATGTATCAATAATATACTTTTTCTTCATCCCAAAGGTTTTACAATCAAATAAAAAAGGTAAGTAGCATTATAAATACAGATTTCTTTTCTGTTGCTATTTGGGTTAGCATGGTTTTCTGTATGTTCCAAAAACAAAAACCAAAAAACCCCTGTTTTCTACTACATAAAAAGGTTTGCTTTTAGCAAGCAATTTGGTGTCAATCTAATTTTGATATGCTATTTGTATATAATTCTTGAGACCTTACTGTTGTTGTGTAATTATCAGTGTCTAGATTAACTGCAGGGCCGAATGGGTCGAATGGACCGGCTGCACACATGGTTCTTTTGACCGAACGTAAAGGTGAATATAAGAACACACATTACCTTTTCAGTTTACTATACAATATATTCAAGACTCATTTGGTTGACTCAAAACATGAAATAAGGGTAAGACAAGCGAATGTGTGATGATAATGGAATTTTACCTTTTTTTAACACCAACAGATACGAAAGAGTTCATGAGGTCAAACAACCTACTTTGGGATCTAGACCATTCAATGTTACAGGAGGTACAGCTCAGCAGCAAAGGGGACATGTTGATCATTCAAAAACCTGGAATCTATTTCATCTACTCCCAAGTCACCTTCTCCAAACAATCTAAAAGTGCATTAAAGCAAGCCATAAGGGTCACCGGACCCAAGAAACAGGAAGACAAGGAGCTACTCAAGGCTTTTTGCAGCTTGAACGACAGCACATCAAATTTGTGCACAGCCTCCCTGGCGGGGGTGTTCCAACTACAGAAAGACCAAAAGCTCTATGTTACAGCAACAAACACATCCTTGGTGAACAGGGACTCCTGCAGCTTTGGATTATTCAAATTACGGTAAAGAACTCTGGAACTGAATCGGTCAAGATGGAGGTAGAGATGGATGATACGAGACAGTGAGGAAATTGACTATATCAATGCACTATATTTAAATGGATAATTATACAGTGATTTACGTGACATCTGAAAGATTTCAGCTCCCAGGGTGCACCTCTTCTCATTGACGTCAAACCACCAGCCAAGTTCAGGACATACAAGGAAATCACGTAAATCTTTCTGAATATGGGAACATCCTGGAATTTGATAAGAACACCATGAATGTTTTCAAACCACTAGTGGCAGTGTTTGTAAGAAATTATTTATTGCTTTCCCTTTTTCTTCTTTTTTCTTTAAAAATTATAATAATAAACTATTAAATTTATAATAAAGATATTTATTAAGGTATACGCTTGACAAAATTATACTTAAGGTTCAAATCTTACCTTAAGTATTTATTTTAAATTTAGGCAACAAACTTAAAAAAAAAAAATTCTATCTGACACTACTTACTCTAAAAAAAAATATTTGAAAAAAAAGAGGGATTTGGAACATACATTATTTATATACACACACACACACACATATATGGGTTTAATTAAAATGATATGTTGTAACTCTGAATAACAAGAAAGCCACAAGTCTACTATCACACAATTCCCCCAATAACCCCAGCTAAGAGTTTGGATATTATCATCAATGTTTCCAAAAGGTCATGAGCTGTGCAAGTGTTTCCTTATATAGCAGGCATCTGTCTACAGGTTGAGAGAAGCTCTATTCTCAGAGTTTGGAAACTAATGTGTAGGATAGTGTGTAGTGCACTAAAGCCTACTAGTTCTGTTTTTACCTTCAATTTGATAACAACCACGAGCTAATTTCTGCTGTGCCTATTTTCCAGCATTCCACCCTCCTCCATGGAAACAGTGAGTTTTAGGTGACAAACATGTGCTCATTTCAGAGCCACGCTGAAGCCTCTGCTTACAGGAAGTTGTCAGCCTGACACTCTCACCCCAGCTTGTACATTTACCCAGTCCCCATAGCAAAATAATTCACTACATCACACATACGAACCATGCAGTCGTCCACATTTCACAACAAGGTGGAATTTCCTCATATTTAAAAAAAGATTAAAAAAAATCTAATATATAGCTTATTAACATGATGTTATTTTTATTAAAACAATTACTTATTTAAATGATGACAACATTAAAAACACAAGCACTAGAAAAACAAAACAAAAAACAAAAACAAATTATAGATGTATAAGCACTTATATTGCATAGATCAGCTCCGCAAAAAATAAAACTTGTGTTCTGCAGACATGGGCACTTTTAAGAGAGGAAACTGACGTGGACAACATTCTTAAACCCTCATTTATGATCTCCTGAAAGTGCTATTCATTTTTTTTTCCTGACACATTCATGACATTACGAGAACAAAGTGAAGTTCCTTTCATTGATATCAGTAGCCACCTGTAGCAAATAGCAAGTTTCCACATGGTACTATGCATACTCGCATAACCTACTGACCACTTCAATCTGTTCCACATAATACACACATGAATATCACATTTACCACCGCAGATGTCATAACTTTAGACACATATTTTAAAACTTCAGGAGTTTCCATAACAACAACAATACAATCAGGGTTAACACTTTAAAATAATATTTAAGGCTATGTGTAACACATGGCATGCAAGGTTAATTGCTGGAAAACAAACACGCACACAAACATGAAACAGATTTACACAGTACCACAGTAACAGAATTATATTTGTGCACCTCAGAGCACATCTTATTGCCTAATTGGAAGAATATATTATACAGAATACTCCTTCCAAGAGAAAGACTGGCTCTTGAATGAATGCACAGCAATTGTAACCAGTCGCATATTGCATTGAATTGCCACAGCAATGTTCCGGAGGTGACATAGTGGGATTAAAAAGAAAAAGAAAAAAAAACTCCCCACCCAAGTTTTGCTCATCTTTACAGCATTTTGTATGCACTTCTTCACTGCTTAAGACGGAGATCGTCCCTCCAATCCAAAAGCGATAGAAAGCATTAGTCACGGTTATGATCGGCAATGAGTTATTGAAAGGTTTAGCACTCCAGACAGGGTCATTTGTGTAAGCGGCCATGTAATTACTCATTCATTCGATGTTCAACTTGTTACAGTTAATCTGGCAAAAGTTCAGGAAAAAAAAGCTGTACCATGAATGCCACATGACTATGGCAGAGTAGGAATGGGTGAGAAATGTATTGCACTGCACCTCCAGTGCACTTGCTGACAGGGAGAGGTTTACTGGGGGAGGGGAGGGGGAGATCCATTAAAATTGGGTTCCAACCACATTTGTTTCTCATTCAAATATGAGCCTCCAAGATATAAGCGAGAAACAAATATCAGTGTCTAAAGTACCATATGTTTCTACGTACACTCGGTTTTCGAGCCCTAAAAGGGCCCATAGTATCAAATCCACAAACATACAGGATTATTTTTTGGTTTAAAATATATATGAAATAGTTTTAAGCCTCTGAAAAAGGAGGTTGAAATTTCTAGTAACACTTTACAATATGGTCTCATTAGTTAACATTAGTTATTGTGATAACATTAAATAACAATGCACAATACATTTGTTACAGCATTTGTCAATCTTTTCTAACCTTAATAAAAATACAACTGTTTATTGTTTGTTGTTTGTTCATGTTAGTTCACAGTGCATTAACTAATGATAACAGATTCAACTTTTGATTTTATTAATGTATAAGAAAATGTTGAAATTAACAGTAACTAAGATTAATAAATGCTGCAGAAATGTTTCATTCTTAGTCCATGTTAACAAATGAAACCTTATTGTAAAGTGTAACCAAATTTCCTACTGTATTCTTATCATTAAAAAAGTTGATATGGTTCTTTTTGCCATAGTATCTATGATATATACATATTTATACTGTATACAAGTATATATGATATACATACATTATATGATGTATTGTATTAGTATAGTATTATAAACTTGACTATTTCAGACAACTATATCCCTGATAGCTTACACTAGTGATGATTATCAGAAGCATGATTATGTAATATATAACGGCTGTTTTAGAAATACTGTGCACCCATGCTGATGTAAGTGACTGTCTGGGGAACACGTTCGAATGGGAATACACTGAATCTAAACCTACAGTCCAATGACATATTACAGGAATTTAATTCAAAACCATCAAACTAAAAGGAAAAACCAAACTCATTTCAAGATGGCAAGTAGGGCATCTCATGTCAATCAGGTGAAACCACAAATCTCAATCTTGTTCATTTGTGACCTAAAAGCTACCTCAAGCAACAACCATTTTCACATTATAAAAGCAGAAATAGGGCTGAAAAGAGCAATACTTGTGGATACGATGGAGTACTGTAATGTTCAACCACAAATATCTTCTCCAGCACCATTAACAGAATATATTCACTTGTGCAATAGTCGGAATGCTGTTTAATGGGCTGAAAGTCATTGGATTTCTCTTGTCAATGACCAGTAACAGTCAAAGTGAGGCAGATATTTGTTCAGTTCAAACACCATCTTTTCTGTGATGTTTCTTCTTGGAGTGCTTGAATGAACCGGAAGGGGGAAAAAATGGAACAGTTGAGGACTTGAATCCGACAGTTATCTGAAGTTTTCCAATCACCTAATACTTCCTAAATAAGCAGTTCACTTGGTTTTCTAGAACAGTTGCCGTTTTGTTCTCAGAAGTCACTTCACAGGAGCATGAAGCAAACCACCCAGTGATATTCTTCCATATGAGTCGATATTCTCATCGGATCTTGTCCTTTTGATGAAAAATGGCTAAAAATCCCCAACATGGTGACTTTCCAAAAGCAATGTTCAGTGTGTAATGTGATGGAAAAACACATAAAAACACATTTGTGAGGACAAACACAGACACAGAAACACATACATGCGCATGGCAATGGGAAACAGGCGAGCATCCAGAGTGTTCTTTAGTGACCTCCTTCCTCCCAGGAACAGTCATTCTTTTGCTTGGCCAACTTCTTGACTACACGCTCCAGCTCCTTACGGGACTTCTGTTCCTCTTCCAGACACTGCTTCATCCATTTATTCTCCTACATTCACAAACACACGGCATCAGAATATAACGGCATAACAACAGTTGAAGTTCAGGGAAAAAAATAATTACAATAACCCAAAATCTTACCTTTTTTAATTCATGGACTTCATCTTTCAAAGCATAAACCGCATCAACAAGACTTCTGCAAAACAATACATTAAAAAAATATTCTTTAAAATATTCAAAGGAAATCAAAACATTTCACAGTGGAAATAAAGCACATGTATAGTAAGAATCAAAAGTCAAGACCTGAGTAAAGATTGGAAAAATTTGGGTTAAATGTTTATTCTTCTTCGGCAAAGTGGGTGATTTGTTCCAGATTTTTAGTTTTTTTGTTATGCAGGTTGAAATTCTCTTCACATTCTGATAGTAATCACTAAGTTAAGTGGTCTAATATATATATATATCATCTATGGAAGGCATAGGACCATAAATTATTCGTCCAATCATTGCATTCGGTCCGAATGCAAAGATTGGAGGCAATGATTAACGCAGTCTCGTGGCGCTTTTGTTTGCTCTGGCTGATGTTCATGTATTTTGGAGGAGGCGTGGCTTTAGAGACGCTCTGAAGGGAGGGTGGGATCTTATGCTTTCAAAGCTAGCTCACTATTGCTAGCCTCTCCGAAAATTGCCAACCCTACCTTTAACCCTCAATTCTGCACTATTTCTAGGTCACTACAAACATAAAAAACAAAGTCTAAGTATTTTCTTAAATGTACTTAATGCTAATTAGAGAACAAGATCACCTTTGAGTAATTCTGCTATCAGACAACTGAACATACTTCTCCTCTATGATCGTCTGGCCATTGCTCTTGATCTCCTCAACAATGATCTTCTCTTCTTCTGGAAGCAGGACCTGGGGGATGCACTCCTTACGCACAGCTGTGTGAATAAATCAAAGATTTTAATTAAACTATTAAACTATATTAGCGTTATTAAAAAATCAGTAGCTTAATTATACAGTACATATGACAGGCAGGTCTAACCTGTGGTGGATTGGTGGAGACTGGCTCCGGTGCAATAGGCCTCAATCACTTTAAGGATCTGGGCATCCTCCTCTAGAGCTACTGTGCCTGTCAGTCACGGAAACAACAATTTCAGAGGGACAAACCACCAATATATTATGTATTTCTATTTGTTTGTACATTCTAAAATATAAGTTGGCAAAGCTGCTCGTGAGATTTCAAAAGCCTTAATTCTACCACTACGGGGACCATTTTTGTGACATTAGATAGGGAACTAAATGATTTGTATTTATCATTTTAATATACCTACTTTTTCTAATCAGCAACTCATCATCTGATGGTTTTCTCTCCGTTTTTCTCTTTGGGAGGAACTTCTTGATTGGTCTGGGGCTTTTACTAGAGTCCTGAGGAAACAGTCTGGTGTTAATGAAGTAACAGCATCTGCTGAGCTCTGAATAAAACCACCAAAACTGCAGCTAGCAGAGCTTAATTTGTGTTCAAATCCACAGCGAGGATGCTAAGAAATTAGACCAATAAATGGTAGCTTACATAAGTTATGACGCCATTCAGGATAATTTAAGAGCAAATTATCAGGGACTCATGAATAAAAACAATTCGCAGTTGAAAGACCCTTGTCTGTTTGTGAACTAATTATTTTAGTCTGTCATTTGAGGACTTTGTTAGTCATCAAAATTAAGTTATTATAACCACCTTCATTGAATTGTCTGAAGGACAATTTATTTAAAGACTAATCTTTTTTTTGTCTGCCAATGTTATGATGACAGCTTTAATAAATATGATGTTAGGAACGTGTTGATGAATTTTTTCTAAGGGTTTAACTTTAAACATTGTCACTGACAACCATTCAGTTTAGTCACAGCTTTAGCAAGAAGCCGAAGTATAAAAGTTAGATTGAAAGTTGATTGACTCAAAGACTTTTCTATTAAGAAATATACACACACATTATACACTTGGCATGCTTCACGCTGAATGGCGTTTTCAGTTTGTATGCTCTACTCATACATCAGAGTGAAAGTAAATGGTGGAATAACTGAAGAGAAGCACGTTCACAGTTTACAGTAATGTTCATTACTGATGAATCAATACCAACAGAAGTGAGAGTGGAAAAATATTAGCGAACTGGTATACAATTCATAAACAATACATTACGGCCCTGAGATATAGAAAAAGGTGAATGAAGTGCTTGGTCTCTTGAATGATTTTCGAAGGATGTTAAACTAAATAAAATATTTAGTTTGTAAAATACCATGACAACTAGCAGCAAGGCCTGGTTTAGGAAAAGTCATCTACACCCAACAAATTGCCATTATGCAATGCGGTACTTGTTGCTCAGAAAACTGGGACATAAAACAGAATCATGCAGCATGATTGGAAAATAATATTCCTTCTTATGTTGACAAGAGAAGTGCCCTTAAACCTCACCGTAACTATATGTTATTATGGTATTATGAGTCATTTAGTCATTTCTATGAACAACTAAATGGCAGATACTGATTATTTTTTACATCTAAATTTAGCTTACCATCAACATAAATTCTCTTGGGGCTTCGATCACTAAAGAAATTGCACCAGTCCCTTATTAAACTGCACTCCACAGGTTTATTGCACAGGTATACAGGTTATTTTCTAAATTCTGCCAATACACTACTGGATCTTCAGATGTATTATCATCTGTCACTGAGAAAGCTTTTCATCGACTTGAATTCTCATATTTGTGGGAAGCAATATAATGAATGAGCTTAGGTCCATATTTTATTGACATGGTTAAAGTGATGTTATCCAACCCTTCAGTAACCGTGGCAACAGCTAATGTATGCCTAAATCCCCTCGAAATCACTCGAGATAGTATGCAAGACAATTCACTATCCAGATTGTTTATTTTTTCTCTGGAACACTGCTGCAGGTTATTAGACTATCACCAAATATGGAACCAATTTAAATGTGCCGTTATGTTTTTCCAATATGAATCTCTAGTACCTCTTTCTATAAATCTTCAATTAATTATTTTTAGAATCTAAAATGGGAAAGATCTTCACATTATACTCATAATGTAAGTCATGCCACATTCTTAACATCTCTTTAGTAATTTTATATATTCATTCCCTGTTTTCACAGACAAGGCTTAAGCTAGTCCCAGACTAAAATGCATGTTTGAGCTGTTTTAACTGAAAGCAACTTAAATATCTTAAAATAAGTCAGTGCCATCATTTTGTCTTAAGGTGCACACCAGTAATGCTTTTTGTTTTTCTTTTCTAAGACACGTTTATAAAAGCTACTTAAATGCCCTAAATAAACTAAGGTCTAATCCTGGCTTAATCTAAGCCCTGTCTGTGAAGCCAGGCCTATAAATAGTGTTTAAGGTTGTAAATTTAACTACAATTACAATAATAACACACACACGAACGTTTGTTTCACTATATTATTGAGGACATGACTTCCATTGATTTTATATTAGGTTAATGAACATAACCCTAAACTAGTGAGGGCCAGTAAAATGTTGTCATAACATTTCACTATGTAAGTGAGGACATTTGGCCCATACAAGCATAGCAAAGCCTGTACACACACACACACACACACACATATATATATATATATATATATATATATACATAATTTTGTAAAAAATAACAAAAAAGTGATTAAAAAAGCATGTAATTATGCCACGTCTTGGATGTACATTGCATGATGAGGACTCTGACTCAACTGCGGCGTCAAGTACCACCAAATGGAAAGCATGTTTTTGCAAGTCTGCTACCACACTTATCGCGAGCAAGCATCTTGAAATGAGTAAAGTGTTGTTTACTGAAGAACCAATCTTACTTTTTGAAACAACTGGACTGGTGTAGGACTGGAACAATGCAGTGGTCTTGAGATGCACGTTTTACAGTTTTTAAATTGACATGGAAACTTAAAAATGTGGCTTTAATGGCAAGAAAGCAGAAGGAGCAATGGCCAAAGATATATATAGTGAATGTTTACATAGAACAACAATTAAAAAAAATAGCATGGAATGGAAATAAAACAAGCAATATATTGACTTCTAAAGGCATTTCAGTATTTTACTTGTCTGCAATAATAATGTAATCTCTGTGAGTGTCTTTTCATTAATTTGATTAATTACATTTCATGCAATTAATGTGTTTAAATGTAATTTAAAACATTGACAGCCCTACTTTCCTCTATACCGTATGAAGCATCTCAACAGAGGCCGTTTATTCATGCAGGAAAAGGTTTGTTTGGGGTTGTGGGTATATTGATTAAAGACGACGAGCTTTGAAGGTTGAAAGGCAGGATATGTTACAGTACACATGGTTTACTGCCTACCAACATTTTGCCGTTGTATCTGAACTTCCTTCCAACTAAAAATTAAATTCAACATAGCAAAGATCATAAATGATAAATAAATGCAACTTGAGCAAAGATCATTGCATAGGGAGGAGAAGATACAAACAAAAAGGCAAACAAAAAGACACCGGAAATCAGTGGCTTGCCACAGAACGAAAGAGAAAAAAAAACACAGAAAAGCATGGATACAGCGTGCAACACCAGTGCTAGCCAAGCACACAGACACGACCACACACACACACACAAAAAAACAAACAGATTCACATCTACTCTTACCTTCAGGATATAAGACATCCTCTAAAGAAGCAGAAAATGGAGAGAGAATGAAGATGTGTATGAGAATAAAAGAACAGCCTGATAGGAATATGATGGAAAGATCAGTGAGAGGTGAACATTAATTGTTGCAGAGAAACAGAAGATTTCACATGCATTCATCAGTTGCTAACACCCGTTGCACAATCTTGTAGAGATGCAGTGCACATTAGAGAGAAGTTCGAGTGGGCTTTGGGTAGTGTTAGCTAATATCCAGCTCAAAGACCACTAAACATTCCACTTAAATCTGAGATAACACCTCCACCGCAACTTGAGTTAAAGAGAATGACGGTGGCTTGCAAACTTACAGTAAGAGTTGCTTTGTATGCATCGGTTTCCTATTAGGACCACCAAGAATGCACAGAGGTAAATTACGCTCCCACTCAAGATCTCTTATGACTATTTTCCAGACAGCGTACCTCTTTATAGCCTAGGGCAGCGGAGGGCTTGAGGGGTGGCGCTGGCCTCAGGCAGCTTAAGGACCAGGGCTTGGTGACCTTGGGGGGTTCGAGAGGGCCTCGGTTAGCCACAGGAGTACCGAAACCGTGCAAGTGGTGGGACAAAGTACCAGTCATGGTTAGAGGCTTACCCTCAACACTCTGCAAAACAGGAAAAAATAACGATTCACCTGTTGGAACGCATCATTGGGAGTGATGTAAAAAAACCCCCCAAAAAACATTGACAATGGGTTCGTATTACCTTCAACATTGTTCCAACTGGACTTCCTTCCTTGGCGTAAGCATGAAGATGTTCTAACCACTCCAGCTGCTCCTGTAAACTACTACAGAACACCATGGTGCGATCTATTGTCCCTCCTAAAAAACACAACCAAAAAAAAATAATCTGCCAAAGGGAAGATACAATGAGAACAAGATAAACTGTTTAAACACGTGCGTATTTGCATTACATAAGTTTTGTTTGGAAAGTTCCAATTAAAAAATACAAATATACACTACTGTTCAAAAGTCTGGGCTCTTCAAAATTTTAATGTTTTTTTTTTTAAGTCTCTTATGCTGGCTAAATTAATTGAATCAAAAATACAGTAAAACTTTAGTATTCAATCTTAAAATATTTTAAAATGTAATTTATTTCTGTAAAGCAAAGCTAAATATTCAGCATCATTATTCCAGTCTTCAGTGTCACATGATCCTTCAAAAATCATTCTAATATACTGATTTGCTGCTCAAGAAACATTTATTATCATCAATGTTGAAAACAGTTGTGCTGCCTAATATTTTCGTGGAAACTGCAATACATTTTTCCAGGATTCTTTTATGAACAAAGTTAAGAACAGTACTTATTTTAAATATAAATCATTTGTAACATTTGTAACGACTGAGACAAATTATTAACAATTATTTGTATATGTAACAAATAATCTTTAAAACTCACTCTGGGATCTATGGTCCCATTCCCCCAACAAGGGCAAAAAGGGTCTAGGTTACCATGACTACGATCAGATAAGTTGGTTTTATTGCTGTTGAAAATGTGGTCATGTGGTCAAGGCAGAGGCCATAGAAAAGACAGAAACAGACCTTTAAAACAGATTTTGCATCAATTTATGGATGAACCGATCTATAAATGAACATGCAGCCCAGGACACCGTGTGAATGATTTACTGTCTTGTGTACTATGTCTTTGATTCTACAGTATGTATTTTATGATACAACCAACGGTCAATGTAACCCCACCTGTATTGTGTCTCCTATCTAATTAATACTCTTTTAAATGACCCACACTTTAGTGTACATCACCTAAGAATGCAGTGTGTGTTTGTTATATCTATCTGAGTATAAATGGACACAAATATCTAACCACACTTGAGATATAGTCATAAATCCTTCCAACAGAGGAATCTCCCGCTTTTAAATTCCCCTTTTCTTATTGGTTGAGCCAACCCTTAAAGGTGGGACCTTTCTCAGGCTTTAAATGGTCTCTACACAAGCCCTTCCCTCTCTTGGTCTTCTCGGTACGTACGCCACACCAGGCCCCAGACCCTAGGGCAGCAGGCCTTGACTCACAACCAGCCATGTGCTCATTCAGGAGAGAGATGACTCTCTCAACCACAACAGAATCCAGGACAACATCAGGAGTTTGGCACAACGTCTTCATTCAATGCAGAAGAAGTCCATCGCAACTCCCACCATCAATTCTGCCGACTTCCTCCCTTCTCCTGTTTGCTCTGTGTGCCCAGGGCCGGCAGGCCACAATCTGCACTCCAGCCATGGGAACAGAGTCAAACCAACCACGCAAGTTCATCACCATTTCTTCAGTCAACGCCGAAGAAATCGATTGAGACTCATGGGACCATCAAAAATCCTTCTTCAGGAACTTTACATGAAATGTTTCACTGCAAAGGTCATGCAAGTATACATTTAATGAGATCCTCTGAAAATGATAAGCTGATGGTTCTTTTTTATAGTTAAATGGATCTTTTCCATAGTTCCCTTTCCTGCTTCCAGTTTCATTATGTCACTCACCATTTTACCCATGTATGTATGTGTGTTTAGTTTAGTTATGTTTGTGATTTAGTTAATAAAACTTGTGCACAATACATATTTGGTTCTGATTCTCTGCTTGCAACAAGGTTTATTTTACGACCTTGATCTTGTTACATGCTTTAAGCGCTGCACATGCTAAGAAAGAATTATTTTTCTGTGGCCATGAAAGATACCCTTTTCTTATAATAAATGAATAATCAAAAGTTCGTTGGACGAACTGATTAATTGATTGTAATATTAATTTAGCTACATCAAGTTAATCCAATTAACTGACCCAAATATTCATAATTAATCATAACAAGTTATGATTGATTATGAATATTAACCCTTTGAGCAAACACGTTACACATTACATGGCAACGCTTACACTGTCAGACTTTGGGATTAGCATTTACGTACAGGTGTGAGTTTCTATTCTATATCTGTATAAACATGCATGGGAGTCAAGCCCATATTCAATAATCACAGCGACAATGACCGAAGTAATAGCAAAGACGGCGATGTCTTATCACTTTTGACACACCACATGTCAAACAGAGTCGCAAGAACAGACTGGATCTGAAATACTCAGCCCTTATCTCCATCGCTGGAAGTTACCAAAACCACACATGAAAACCCGCAACACACGGTCGACACACGTTTGTGTAGCACAGAGCGGCTCTCTCGCACTGAATGACTGACAGACAACAAGATGTCCAGCCTGGTTCCGTTCACACAGCGCAAGTTTTCCGAGAATGTGGTTGTGAGTCCTGAAAATTTACTGGTGTGAGCTTGGTTAAAGAAAGCAGTTGTCACTACCGTAAATAACCGTACTGTGTGTGAACGTAACCGTATATTAAGGACTCAAATACTTGACTGACAACTTGTGGCTTATATGCATTTACTTTTGATTAATTTAATGCATCCTTGTTGTAATGTTTGGAAAGACATGTAGGTGAGCTAATGATGACACTATTTATTTTTGGGTGAACTATTCCTACAAGAAGTCACCTGCACATGCTCATTACTTGTTAGATTAAACTATATTGCTGCCTTGTTATAAAAACAGGTCAAGAGACAAGCGGCAATGAAAAAAGCAGCTATAATGACACAGTAGAGAGTATATTGCTCTGAGACCTCTCAAAAAAAAAAGAGACCTCACTAAAACTGTTTACATGGACTGAAACAAACCTGTGATCTCAAAGGCATAATGGCCTGTGTCTGCATCTTCTATGTGTTTGGTTACAGTGGTTCCTGCTAGTGGCAGACGTCCCTATGAGACGAGAGTGAGACAAATGAGTGCACTGCGCTCGACTTTTTCATAAATAACAGATGCTGATTATGTACCTGGATGAACACAACAGAAAAAAAACTCACCTGGTAAATGAAACCACTCATTCTTGGGCTGGCAGACAGCATGACTAACACATTAGGAAACAGCATGAAGTATTTCTCTTCTTTTTCCTAGAAAAAAACAAATGTACATTATATTACATTCAGAACTTCTGTCCAAATTACATTAATTATTACCACTACTTAGAACAATCACATTGTTCATGGCACAGATGCAGGTGAATGGCATTACGGCACCTTTACAGCAAACAAACACAAACATCAAATGTCTCTATGTTACACACACTTTTGGATTGGTGAACGGCTCTATTTTTTGCTACAATGATTACTCACGATCAACAAATATCGTACCTTATTTCTAGCAAACCAAGATAAATTTCAGCTAAGCAAAAGAGAGAAAGAGAAAGGAAATACAATGAAAAGAATGGGAGGGAAATCATTTCTAATGACTTAGTAAGTAAATGCTTTCATCATCCTACTATTTTTCCTTCAGCTTAGCCCTCCTGATGTTATCAGGGGCCTCTATCAGACCCCTCAAACAGCACTGTTTCCATTAACCAGAATCAGAGGGGGCTGAGGTTCAAGTTGGCAACGCATTCAGATGACCACAGATGCAAAACTTTGCAGGAGGATTTAAGCTGTTGACATTTAAATATTTTTCCATTCATTAGCTAAAACAAGTCACATAAAGCAAAAAATGGGTGTGGCTCTGACCATTATGTCTAAAAGGCCATGATCAGCACTTCTATGGAAAATAACCTTGTTTTGCACAACACTTCAATTAATCTTGACAAAATAATCACTCCAGCCACTTCATAGTTTATTTCGAAATTGTGCGAACATGACCCAAACCACTAACATGCATTTTGGACAAAATAAACAGTGATATACCACGCTGCTGTGAAAGCAACAGGTCGGGTTTAGATACCACACTGTTATTTCCTAGTTCTCACTCTCCTCCTCACCTCATTTGAGCTGCTCTGCATGTGGACCTGTGACATGTAGACCACCTGACCCAGTGACTTCATGCTGTCCCCCTCCCAGCCCCGTACCGGCTCTGACAAGATCTGCAACTCTAGGTTCTTTCTTTTTCGCAGATCTTGACACTGAGTCTGAAAAACACAAACAGATCAATTCAGTGAAACAAGAATTAATGGGATACATTTCATGTGTTGCATTTCATAGTGAGTCAGGGGAAACACATACTGAAATGTAAGTGATTCGAAAAATCATTGTGTGATAGTCAAACATTAAGACTGATTCACACCCAGTCTAAAATGAGTTACCATCTGCGATTAAATAGCACTAAACTATAAAACATTTTGTTCATAATTCTCTGATAAATGTCTCAATAACGTAATGAATCGTTTGACATCCAGAATACACACACACACACAATCGTTCAAAAGTTTGGGATCAGTAAGATTTGTTTTTGAAAGAAGTCTTTTATTTATCTACGACATACAGTGATACAGAAAGAGTAATATTGTGAAATATTATTACAATTTAAAATAACTGTTTTCTATTTTAATAAAGTCTTTAGTCACACGATCCTTCAGAAATCATTCTAATATACTGATTTGGTGCTCAAGAAACATTTGTTATCATCAATGTTGAAAACAGTTGTAACATTATAAATGTAATGTGTTTAACGCATTCTTGCTGAATACAAAGATGAATTGTTTTGAACGGCAGTGTATGAATAAAATATTGTGCATGTTTTTAGTGCTGAATTTTCAGATGTTTATAGTCTCTGATAAGTATCTAATAACTTAATAAACATTGATAAATAGTGGGTTACAATGTTTTTAAAGTAAGTTTAATGCCAAATGTATAGGTATATTCAAAAACTGAACGTTTTATAACACAATAACTTGGAACAGGAAAATATATAATCTTAAATGGTCACTTCTCCGTTACATTCCATTCCATTCATGTTCCTAACTGATGCTTAATCATCAAAGCGACTTACAATAATGTACGTAAATCATCTCATCAGCAATTACCAATATAGGTAACTGAGAAAGGTAGGTAAAGGGGGAAGACCAAATATACATGACACCTCCACTACTGAGACCTAAACTATGAACATGGGACTCTCCCTTACCTGTCAGAAAAAAAAACACAAAACGAAACTGAAAAAAGACATGAAACTGTTCCACAGAACTCAACGAGTAAAGAAATCACCTACTACTATAATTTTCTATGCCGAGACGTCTGACATGAAATGCCATTATCTAAGGAATGACTCATCTTTCCTCAGTTTTTTTAATCTTATAGAGACACTCTCGTAAACCTTAACCTTTACATTTCATGTAACAGCAACATCTCCTCCAACCTGTAAAGTGCAGTGAACCTGCTGTGCGGTTTAGAGGTGAGGGTAAGAGGGAATTGGAGAGAAAAGACTCAAATGTTTTGCACCATGAGAGGAAACATCTCATTGGTCAAAACCATGAGAAGTAAAAAAAAGTCAAAAATGCTTTAGTTGCCAAACAAGCACCAAAGTGAAATGGCAAATATGACAGAGAACTGTGACATACCACAAGATTTTTAAAAGCAACTGTTGCTTTGAGAATGTCACTGTAATCTGGATGCGCTTCCTACAAGAAAAAAAAGAGAGAATCTGTAAATATTATAATATAACAAACATGAAAACACTCAAGGCCATCCATGATCTTAGCAGCTTGCTGTTACCTCCACATGTCGCTCAAGTTCCTGCAGGAGGGTGGGATACTTGTCGAGCCTCATGAAGGGTTTGCTCAGGCTGGTGGTCAGGGTCAGAATACCAGGAGCACTGGCACCCTGACTCTCCATGAACTTGTCCAGCTCCTCACTGTTCATGGAAAAACAGTTTTTATTTGAGACTGATTTATTTGACAGTTATGATCAGCACATCTTAATGTCGAAAACAGTCTACCCCTTTATTTGAACAACTAACTTGAATAACATTTTTAATAATTGCTCAAAACTCATCACAACTTATTACATATAAATATACACTACAGTTAAAATGTTTAGGGTCAGTATAAGATAAAAAAAAAAAGAAGTAATTAATACTTTTACTCAGCAAGGATGCATCAAATTGATAAAAAGTGACATTTATAATATTACAAGATTTCTATTGCAAATAAATGCTGATTTTTAAACTTCCTATTAAAAGAATCCTGAAAAGTTGTATTATAGTTTTCACAAAAATATTAAGCAGCACAACTCTTTTCAACATTGATAATAATAAATGTTTTTTGAGCAGCAAATCATCATATTAGAATGATCTCTGAAGGATCATGTGACACTCAAGACTGGAGTAATAATGCTGAAAATTTTCATTTTAAAACTTTAAAAATGTAAAACTTTAGGAACACTTATAAAATGTATGTTTTTGTTTTATAAAATAACACTTGTGTAAATGAAAAAAAAAAAAGGTTTAATCAGTTTGCAATCAGGTCAACAACGCATTCTCATATAAACATAACAATAGCAAATGTTTTGGGGAAGGTGACAGAATGGGTGTGAAAAGAACTCATCACTAGAGGCTGAATTGTGATAAAATAAATTTAGACTAAAGATGAATCATCTGAACGCATGCCTTGAGTACATGATCGAACAATGGAAAATGCTGCAACAATGCTGCAGAGTGATATGCGAGTGAGCAAACAATCAAAAGTCTGTCTTCTGCCTCCATCAGCATAACCACAGCTATAGATATCCTGTTGGGTTAGTGCTGTTTCCTGTGTGTATGAGACATGCCTTTTCACTCTCTCCTTCTGTCGTGGAGCATTCTGAGGTGGAAGGAGAAAACTGACAGAAACCTTTTTGTAGTTCATCATACAGGAAGTGTGTAAAATGTGGCTCAGACATTTCTGAATAGCTGTGAAGTTTACAAGTACAAACCAATAAAAAACACACACCTTAAAATGGAAATAGGGCAGCAGTGTTATATGTAAAGGCAGAGGGGAGATTTGCTTGTTTAGTCACTCAGCTCAATGAGACATAAGAGAATCGAAGCCTTGTAGCGACACCTGCTGGTTCATCTTTATACTTCAGAAAACATTATACTGTATATTGACACAAAGGCAAAGTGTAATTTCTGTGCCACTAGCCTCAAACAATACAAATATTTTGTAAGCGCCATAGTCACAGTTTTACAACTTTTGGGAAGTCAACCTATACAATGGTACATTAATCATGGCAATCCCCAGAGGGCATTTCCTCTAATGAATAATGTGGAGATGTGCTTAGAATATAATGATGTATTGTTCTTCGGAGCTCTTTGTACTACAATTCAGACTTTACATTAATACTTCACATTTTGTGACATGCATTTTTAGAAATGAAATTACTCTAAAAAGAATTTCAAAATTACCACTTTAACTCATTAGTATTAAAAATAATTAGATATTATTTTCCATAGTTGATAATATATAACATAAAATATAAGAACAAACCTAATTAGTGCTTGTGTGTAAAACAAGCTTGTTTGAGCATCCTTTTACCACATTTGATGTGCTCTGCATGTGCATTGATCGATGTTTATATGTGAATAAAAGCCTAATCAAAGGAGTCATGACATGACAAATCACATTTTGTATCATTAAATCATCCTGCAAACATCATTTTCAAAAGATCCTCCTCCTAAAAAAAAAGCATTTATGTAATCAAGCTCCAAAAACCTATTTGACAAATCATTTTATATCATCGCACCATATGCCCCGCCCCCTGGTGCTCAGTCACTTAACGTCTGACACCAGTCTACACCAGAAGCAAATAGAACCCATTATAATCACTGATGCCATCTACACTGGATACAATATTCAGATGCCTGTTCAATTTCTGACACTCCACGCACTTGAGTCAACAGGACAAATGGAAGCATAAGACAGAGCAAAGGAACGTTCGTTTTGACGCATCCAGCTGAAACAGCTTGTTAGTATGTATGTATAGCCTTCAGAAGGATCCCAGCATCAGGAACAAGTATATGGTTTATGTTTAATGGCTGCAGTTTTGTAAACAAGGCACATTTGATCATGAACATACAGTTGCAGCGCCAAGCTTCCATATACATAGCATTACAATGAGAACAGTATTGCAAAAGAATGTTGTGAATTCTTTGTGCTTTTGTTGCCCGTGTTTAAGCGTCGTTTAAGAACGCTGATGACACAGGAGCTGGCGTTGTGACATATGACCTACAAGCAGAGGAAGACGCACGCGAGGTCACGCGGTGCTCTCGTGAACGCGCGTCGGAGACTGATACAGAAGAGAAGGAATGTTTTTTTTTGTTTTTTTGGCGCACAAAAGGTATTCTCGTCGCTTCATAAAATTAAGGTTAAACCACTGTAGTCACATGGACTATTTTAATGATGTATTTCCTACCTTTTGGGCCTTCAAAGTGTTAATTAAATAGCTGTCAATGGAGCCCCTCCTGAGCCACCGGATTTCATCAAAAATATATTATTTTGTGTTCCGAAGATGAACGAAGGTCTTACGGGTTTGGAACGACATGAGGGTTGAGTAATTAATAATGACAGCATTTTCATTTTTGGGTGAACTTACCCTTTAACAAAAATGCCTATCCCTAATGCATAATGTTTTCAAAACACAATGCAAGAGTGAGGAGGCGTTGATACTTTTTCTATGCAATGACATTATCCAATCATAACAGTGGCTGTTTACTGACAAGTCTTAATGGAGCCGCACCTTAAAAACAGTTCACGGGTCAGACTGAGCGTTATAGAAATATAAATAATTATTGTTGCAAATATATAATACTTTATTAACATTATAAGTTTGTGAAAATAATAATAAATACTTGTCATGACCCCTTTAAATCTGTCTTTCTTCATTAGACTTTATTTGAATTTATTTTACAATGTCTTTATGACTTTTTAAAGCTTTTAAGTTTTGGTGTAATGGACTTTAAAGAAATGAAATCTCTCAGGTTTCAATGATAAACGGAATTCTTCTGAGGTTTGGAACGACATGAAGGTGAGTAAATGACGACATAATTTTCATTGAGTGAACTAAACCCTTTAACATCGGATGTTTTGACACACAGAAACTGATGACAATTATGAGACACTGAGTGGACACTGACCTGTGATCAGTCAGCACACACACTGCAGAGGGATGGCTGGAGCAGTAGGACAAGTACAGTGTTCTGATCTGACACATCAGGTTCAGGTAACAGCCACCAATCCGCTGCTGGCCGTCTGGCATCCTACAAAGCAAAAGTACATAGATCAGCCCGGATAATTACTTTCTTACATACATTAACTTTTATTTCATGTCAAATACCCTTGGTTTTGAAATGTTGACACATTACAAATACAACACACAAAGCCATCACCAGATGGCGATGTATCATCCAAGAGTATGACTTCTATAAAAAGCAGAGAATCATTTGAGTCAATATGCTCTATAAACACAGAAAAACAGCTCTTACTTGGAGCACTCCTCTAAGGCAAGACACAGTCCAAGTTGGAAAGAGAGGACGTCCTCTAAATTCCCATTTAGACTGGAGCTGTCCGCACTAGAGAGCCTGCAGAGAGAGCAGACAGAAGAGTCATTGTGCATAGGGGTTTTCATTGACTGCCCCAGCACCCCGAAATGTCAATCGGCTTTGATATCAAAGGGTCCCTGATGCCATGGTGACGTCTGTGTTTTGCTCTTACTTGTCGCTGGCCTGTAGAGGGCGCAGGTAGCAGCCAAGTACCGCCTGCAGTTCTTTGACAAACTCTCTCTCATGCTCTAAGATGTCTTGCACCACCTAAGAAACAAAGCATTCAAATAAGAACTTAAAATTCATTTACTACATGTACATTTGGCATTTGTTCATGCGTTTAAAAGAACTCACCACATTGTAATAATTTTTTGTCAGCTGAGGAACGTCAAATCCTTTTATCGATTTCGGAGATATTGGTTTCTCTGGGGAAAAATAGAGGGAAAACTTAATAAGCATGTCACTGTTTTGTTCAATTATGTTTGCTAGGACAATTTGATTCTAACAATGCTAAGATGCTTACATCTTAGCAAGATCTTAAAGGTGCTCTAAGCGATGTCACGCGTTTTTTAGGCCAAAACTTTTTTTGTCACATACAGCAAACATCTCCTCACTATCCGCTAGCTGCCTGTCCCCTGAACACACTGTAAAAAAACGCGGTCTCTGCAGACACCCCAGGCTCCACAAACGGCAACAAAAACAAACTGAGGCAACCCGCTCCACGAAACATAACAAACTGTTCCAGCCAATGACCGACAAGAAGGGTTTGGGGGGTTAGTGTGCGGATGAGGAGGAGGGAGGGTCTAGCTAGCCTCCGTTTTGTTTGACAATAGTTCGAACGTCAACAAGAAGTGACGTCACCCAGGATCGCTTAGAGAACCTTTAAATTGCCCACTCACCACATGGCTTGACCTCTCGGACATAGTTGCTAGGGAACCAGCCGGTTTTGCCATTAAGGTTTCCCTCCCACCATCCACCTTCCTCCTGGCGTGTGACATGGATCAGCTCGCCCTTGCTGAAAGACAGCTCGTCCTCATTGTTCTGCTTGAAATTGAAGCGGGCCTTTACCATCAGCTGCCCACCGCCTCCATTCTCCGACATTTCCTGGAAAGCAACAGTTGAAAAATATCAGTATGCAGTCAACTGGGGCACAAACTAACTGATTTTTTTAAATTGATGGTTTACAAACTATGCATATACTTATAGGGGTGTAACCGTATACCGTTATATTGATACATCGAAAACATAAAAATGCTACGATATGTATCTGTGAAGTGAAGGATATGTAGTGGAATATAGAGTTTTATCCAAGACTGAGCTTATTCAGGGCTCTCTGAATCAGGGCCCGAATTTCATTTTTGAAAATGGGGGAAATCCCCCCTTAGGTGACTCTTGTGGGGGTATTTTTTTATTTGAGGGGGCCATTTACTTTTAGACATTTTTCAAAAAATATATAATTATCTCACCTAAATGTATGATTATGCAGTGCATTTTTGTTTTTACAATTGGGCAATTGTTGCACAATAGCTTATACACAGCACAAGCCTGATTTCAAACTCTGAATTGAATTCACAAAAAAGACAAGTAAACAGTCAGTAATAAAATAAGACAAATAAACAATTTACAAGTAGTAGCAGAAATAAATATAATACAAACAAAGATACAAACAAAAGAAACCGTGCTTTAAGTTTTTTTTTCAGGTAGGTCTAACCGTAGAATTGAGGTAAGAAATACTAAAGAAATTTAATAAGGAATTAAATGTAAAATAATACTGGATGGTCTTCCCTGAATAAATTAAATACAGGTTAATCATTACAATTAAAGCTCCAGTCCGTAACTTTTTTAAGTTAAAAATAATCCAAAATAATTATATTAAAAAAAACTTATTCTGCCAGTGGTAAAAACTATCTGCTTGCCATAGCTAGATTCAAAACGGTTAGCTTGTAATAATGATTTTAATTCCAGTGGTACTGGTGGGTTTCCGCGGGAAATTCGAGCATGTCTTTGCGTCATGACGTCACACCCGTACACATAAAGAAGGAGTTTCGGCTAGCCGGCTATACTGCGCGTGACGAGATGTTTTAATGTATAGGCTTTTCTCGCAGCACTTTACATAATTAAACTTATGGCATCCAGAGAGATCCAAACAACAATCATCAGTGTCAACTGGAGATTCAGCAGTTATAAAACCCAAAAGACTTCGTACTTCGGATTTAAGGTGGCTAGAGAAAGAGAAAGAAACCGTCTCATGCGAACACAAGGATTTAAACATCGGCGGGGCTTTTGAAAAGTGCGTGAACTCCGTGTTTTGAAGGGGTTCAAAACAGAAGAAGAGACGGCTTTTTTCTGCTGAACAAGTAAGTTAAGACATTTCATTGGTTCAATCGTTTAACAGTGCGTTTTCTTAATTCACACAGTTATGGAGTTTCCTTTGTTGTGCCTTTCTCGTTTTGCTATTATGGAGAATATGAATTCTGAACTACACAGGTAACCATACAACACATTAAATTTAACATTAGTCACGCAATGCTGATGTGATGTTGTTAACATGAACAATTTGAGAACAAAGTAGGCTATAATTTGCACGGTTGCTGTAAATCGCGTTGATTAAATCTAACGAAGCTTATCATGTCGAATGCTTTTTCCCCCTTAGTTGGTCAGAACAAAAATGGATGTTACTTACTTGTTCAGAAGACATTTTCTAATGAAAATTCTTATGTTGGTCAAACTTTCAAAAAGTGAATCTGTGATTCTGTATGACAGTATCCACACAGCGCGCTGACTGACAGCAACACTCGCCTCAAAGCACTGTGTTCATCCGCGCTGTTTCATGCCGATTTACAACCCACGTAAAGATGATAATTCCGCGAATCACTGCAGTTACAGATTTCGAACAGAGAGATGGCGACAAAGAGGAAAAGCTACGGACTGCAGCTTTAAGGTTACAAATGTTAGTCATTCAAGAGTGGTGCATGTCATGTTTTTTTTCTGTCTTTTGTTGTTTGATTAACATTATAGAGAGCAGCAGGATTATCAGGCTGTTGTCACTTTAAGAGCTGCGCTGATTCAATATACTGTTACACAACATTTGTGTGTTTGACCATTAATGAGCAATTTGGTACTTGCAAGTTGTTTGTGAGGCGGCCTTATGTGTGTGCCCTTTGAGTGTGCATGAGCATTCCATCTCTAGACTAGGAGAGAGTGCAAGTGGTTTAAACACCGGCAAGACTTAAAAAGAAATGTAAATTATAGAACTTTAGTGATGAGCAAATGGCATTTCCTGTGTCAACTGTGCTTATAGTGCAGACGACGCGATGTGCTGATGTGACAGATTGAGACGGTGCCGCCGCATGTCATGCCATACCTCTCACGGCAGGCGCGTCTTTTTGCGTCATCAGCATGAGATCGGTTTATGAGATTGGCCTTTATAGAGACCGCTGATCAAACTTCCCAAAGCAATTATCGGCGGATAGCGATAGCCGTTTGCATGTATAGTTCCCCAAAAATGAAAATTCTGTCATGTATTCACCATATAAGATTTTGTTCATCTTCCCAACACTAATTAAATTATTTTTTATGAAACCTGAGAGATTTACTGTATGTCCTTCCATTTAAAGTCCATTCCCCTAAAATGTAAAAGAACTTAAAAAAGGTCACAGAGGCATACTAAAAATAATCAATTGAGCGGTTTAATCCAAGTCATCTGAAGAAACACAGTCGCTATATGATGAACAGATTTACTGATCAATGCACATATTGTAGTATGATAGGGATGTTTAAATGAGAATGACATGAGTGAGTAAATTAAATACAATTTTGGATTAACTACCCCTTTAGAGTTAGGGAATCATCATTTTAACAGGCCTTGCAATTAGAAAGGTGATTGATTGCATTGATCATCCGAAGCGGATGTATAATAATGCAACGGGGGAATATTTGTGGGTTCTGATAATGCCAAATGTCTGATTTTACTAATATAAAGGTGCTGTATTATTTTGCATCTATGTAGTCAGTGACGGACTTTTTTAGTCCTGATGAAAGCCTTTGTGCCGAAACCGAAACGTGTTGGTGAAATAAAATAGTATTCTTTCAGCCACACTCTGATTATTTTGACCTCTCCACTTCACAAGTGTTGCTGGTATCGTTTAAAAATACTCGTTTTTTCCTTCCATGCACCTAGTTGATTTTGTAAAGTTGTACCAGAATAACCATACATCAGTCAGTGAGAGTGCAAGAATATTAGTTTAAAATAATTCTGTATTTTCAGCATCAGAATCATGAATAATTTTATTCCAGTGTCACCATTGCCCTGTGCATTGGGGATCAGGAACAAGTCTAAGCCTATTCCAAAATTTAGCATTTTAACCAACAATACGTTTTTGTTTGCGAGTTCAGTATCGTGAATTGTATCGAATCGCGACATGAGTGTATCGTTACACCATTTTAAAGGGGTCCTATTACGCTCATTTACAGGTCCATAATTTTGTTTATGGTGTCTACTAAATACGTTTACATCATTTAATGTTAATAAAACTTAGTTTCAGTTTCTTTGAAACCCGCCTTCTGAAAAACCCAGTCTGCTCTGATTGGTCAGCCAACCTCAGTCTGTTTTGATTGGTCAACTGCTTTGAGTGTGTTTCAGAAATGTTACGCCCCTTACCAACTCAACCAGGGCTTGCCTCTTTTTTTTTACACACAGGAATTATATTTAAATGAGCAATATTATGACGTGTATGTTCCTGGAAGAAAACTCAAAACTACAATCGAGGCATTTCAGGGAGTTCAGAAACTGCTTACTGATATAGAGAATAACTCCCTATGGAGTGGACTTTGCAGACATTTTTCATGCTCAAACAGAAACATTATACACTAAAGGAAGTTATAAAACATAATAAGACATAGGGTCTCATTCACTAAGCATGTGTATGCACTAATTTGTGCATGAAATCAGTGTAGTACATCAGTGTACAGTCAACAAATCATGATTCGCCAAAAACTTTCGTACAAAAATGTTTTCTAAATTTACAAAGATTTTTTAGGAACAACTGAACCAAACTTCTACACCTACGCAAAAAGCACTTTTTGTGATGCCTTATAATCGTGTTAAGTTAATCATTGTCATCTTAACATGACAATAATTATATTATATTATACAAAATTACAGAATATATTTATAAATGATACAATTTACTTTAATCTTAAAGGGTTAGTTCACCCAAAAATGAAAATTATGTCATTAATGACTCACCCTCATGTCGTTCCAAGCCCGTAAGACCTCCGTTCATCTTCGGAACACAGTTTAAGATATTTTAGATTTAGTCCGAGAGTTTTCTGTCCCTCCATTGAAAATGTATGCACGGTATACTGTCCTTGTCCAGAAAGGAAATAGAGACATCATCAAAGTAGTCCATGTGACATCAGTGGGTTAGTTAGAATGTTTTGAAGCATCGAAAATACATTTTGGTCCAAAAATAACAAAAACTAAGACTTTATTCAGCATTGTATTCTCTTCCGGTTCTGTTGTCAAGTTCAGTGACGCTGATGACGTAAGACGCTGCTGACGTGTAATCTGGTGCGCCCGAGCTTCGTTTACAGTCTGAGGGAGACGCACACTGTAAACAAAACAATCTTCGCAAACATGTCTAAGGATTTCGACACAGAGGAAGACTTGCATTTTTTTCCCCAGCCATATTTATTTGAACCCGAATACATGGACACACCAGATAACACGTCAGCAGCGTCTTACGTCACCAGCGCACAACAGAACCGGAAGAGAATACAATGCTGAATAAAGTCGTAGTTTTGGGTATTTTTGAAGCAAAATGTATTTTCGATGCTTCAAAACATTCGAACTAACCCACTGATGTCACATGGACTACTTTGATGATGTATTTATTTCCTTTCTTGACAAGGACAGTATACCGTAGATACATTTTCAATGGAGGGACAGAAAGCTCTCGGACTAAATCTAAAATATATTAAACTGTGTTCTGAAGATGAACGGAGGTCTTACGGGCTTGGAACGACATGAGGGTGAGTCATTAATGACATCATTTCATTTTTGGGTAAACTAACCCTTTAAATATTTTTAATCATAAACAGGT